TGGGTCTTGGAGACTGTGTGTTGACTATAGGCACCTCAATGCACTTACCATTAAAAGCAAGTATCATGTCCCCATTATAGAAGAGTTGCTAGATGAGCTATATGGTTCAAAATGGTTTACTAAGCTTGACCTTCGAGCTGGCTACCATCAAGTCAGAATGAGTCCTGGAGAAGAACCTAAAACTGCATTTCAAACCCATTATGGCCATTTTGAGTACAAGGTTATGTCGTTTGGTTTTACTGGGGCACCTGCTACCTTTCAAGCAGCTATGAACAAAACCTTGGCATCAGTCTTAAGAAGATGTGCTCTAGTATTCTTTGATGATATATTGATTTATAGTCCAGATCTTAAAACACATGTGGCTCATGTTTCACAAGTATTGCAGCTATTGAAGCAGGATCAGTGGCAGGTGAAGTTATCTAAGTGTTCTTTTGCACAACAGCAAGTTTCTTACTTGGGCCATGTGATTGGGGTACAAGGAGTAGCTACTGATCCTGGCAAAATCAATGATGTGGTTAATTGGGCAGTTCCAACTACCATTAAAAAGTTAAGAGGATTCCTCGGTCTTGCTGGATACTACAGAAAGTTTGTCAGAAACTTTGGAGTGTTGTGTAAACCCTTGACTCAGCTGCTAAGGAAGGGAGTATCTTATAAGTGGACTGAGGAAACACAAGAAGCTTTTCTGGCCATTAAGCAAGCATTGGTGTCTGCCCCTGTTCTTGCTTTACCTGACTTTTCTAAGACATTCACAGTAGAAACAGATGCTAGTGATTATGGCATTGGAGTTGTGCCGTCACAGGAGGGACACCCAGTTGCCTATCTTAGCAAAGCATTGGGTCCACGGTCCAGGGGTCTTTCTACTTATGAGAAAGAGTGTATGGTTGTCTTATTGGCTGTAGAGCGTTGGAGGCCTTACTTGCAACATCAGGAATTCGTTATACTCACAGATCACCACAGTTTAGTCTATCTGTCAGATCAAAGGTTGCATACTCCCTGGCAACAGAGAGCATTCACCAAGTTATTGGGGTTGCAATATAAAATTTGTTATAGGAAGGGCAGTACCAAGTCTGCAGCTAATGCATTATCCAGAAAGGAGAATGATGAGGAAGTGCAACTGCTAGCAATATCTGTTGGAGTGCCTGTATGGATACAAGAAGTGATTAAGGGCTATGTCTCCGACCCTTTTTCATCTCAGTTACTAACTGAATTGACTGTGAACAGAGAAGCAAGAAACCATTTCTCTTTGCAAGATGGTCTCTTAAGGTATAAGGGCAGAGTGTGGGTTGGTAATAATTCTGATTTGCGGTCTAAACTCATGGAAGAAATGCACAGTCAGCCACTTGGGGGACACTCTGGCTTCCCAGTAACTTACAGGAGGTTGAAGCATTTGTTTGCTTGGCAAGGAATGAAACAGCAAGTCAAGCAGTATGTTTAGAACTGCCAAATCTGCATACAGGCCAAACCAGAGAGAGTGAAATACCCTAGGTTACTACAACCATTACATGTTCCTGAAGGTGCATGGCAAGTGATTTCTATGGATTTCATTGAGGGATTACCAACATCTGAGAGATACAATTGCATTATGGTGGTTGTAGATAAGTTTTCTAAGTTTGCTCATTTCCTACCACTGTCTCATCCTTACACTGCAGCCAGTGTTGCTGACATCTTCATGAGGAATATTTATAAGCTTCATGGCATGCCCAAGGTGATAATTTCTAATCGAGACAGAATCTTCACTAGTCATTTTTGGGACTATTTGTTCACTAAGGCTGGAACCAAACTGCATATGAGCTCATCTTATCATCCTCAGTCAGATGGCCAGACTGAGAGAGTGAATCAATGTTTAGAAATCTTCCTGAGGTGCTTCATTCATTCTGTCCCTCGCAAATGGGCTACTTGGCTATATTTGGCAGAATTCTGGTACAATACCTCTTACCACTCGGTAGTTCACAAAACACCCTTTGAAGTTACTTATGGATATCAACCCACTCACTTTGGCGTCAGCATGGAGGATTGCTCAGTTCCTGATCTGGCTGAGTGGATGAGAGACAGAAGGTCGATGCATCAACTGATTCAACAACACCTAAATCGGGCTCAACAGCAGATGAAGGCTTATGCTGATAAGAACAGATCCTTTCGTGAGTTTACAGTTGGAGATTGGGTGTACCTCAAAATCCAGCCATATGTTCAATCATTAGTAGCCAAAAGAGCTAATCACAAACTTGCATTTCGATATTTTGGGCCATTCCAGATTCTACAGAAGGTGGGCACTATAGCTTATAAGCTAGATTTGCCGGAAGATTGTCTCTTTCATCCAGTCGTGCATGTGTCACAACTGAAAGCAGCCAAGGGTTTTACTCCTTCAGTTCATCATACTCTGCCTTCTGAATTGGGCAAATTGCAAGTACCAATGGCATTCCTGGACTATCGTCTGTTCAAAAAGGGTAACTCTGTTTTATCCCAAGTTCTAACGCAATGGTCAGGTGGTGCGGCGGAGGATGCTACATGGGAGGATCAGGAAGACCTACGTGCCAGGTTTCCGCATGCGCCGGCTTGGGGGCAAGCCGGTTCCCAAGGAAGGGAGAATGTCAGAGCTCCTGATGACCAACTGGTAGATGAAGGTGATGGCGGCAATAACCTGGAGGAAGAAGAACAGAGTGAAGGCGGACAGGAGAAAGGCGTCACCCTTAAGGCAAAACGTAATAGAGTTGCTAATACTAAGTATAGTGGGCCCGAATGGCTTGTGTAATTGGGCGTGCCTGCGTGTGGCCCATGAGTGGTTGGTGAGACTGGAGACCTGTATAACTATACTGTTGCGTGTTCAAATGAAAGGCATCGATCTGGAAACTGGAGGCGAAGGCGGCGGTGGCTCCGATCCTGTTGGATCGTGAGAAGGTTCTAGGATTCCCAAATTATCTTGTGTGTTCTTGAGTTCGTGATTGCTGTGAGTGAGGGTTCTAACAATTGGGCCTTGGTAGTGGCTTGGGCTTGCCCATGTATATTGGGCAGTGGTTAACGGTAGGGAGGAGAGGGACTGCAATCTGAACGATTGCTATTTCATCTAACGATTTAGAGATGAATTTACAAATTGTGGGGAAAAAGTGCACCGAAGGTCCCTCAACTTGTCATCCGGATAAAAAAAACGTCCTCAAACCGCAAAACCAGATATGCGGGGTCCCTTAACTATACAAAATTGTTCACTTTAGGTCCCTCGGTGGTTTTGACCCCGGTTTTGTCTGACGTGGCGGTTGCGTCAGCATGGGACCCACGTGGGCCCCACATGTCAGGTAGACCACGTCACCACCCTCTCTCTCTCTCTCCCTTCCTCTCTCCTTTTTTCCTCTCCACGTGGATGTCGGCAGTGTCTTCGACGCAGTGGGGAGGAAGGCCGGCGTGGCCGGAGGCTGACGGGGAAGGAGCGCGGCGGAGAGGAGGGCCGATGCGACGGGCAGCGCCGCCAATGGCTGTCGTCGCGCGGGGAGGAGCGCGGCAGTCGTCTGCCTTCCCTCCTCCTCCTCCGCATGCCGTGCGGCGCGGCGCCATTGCCGTGGCCTACGGGGCATCGTCGGGGTGAGGCGGCGACGCATGGTGGCGCGGGCGGCGTGGTGGAGGGGAGGGCCTGCGTAGAGTGGCCGATGCACGGTGGCTCAGGTGGCGCGGCAGAGGAAAGGGCCCACGTTGGTGTCATCGATGAGCCGGATGGGACGGTGGCGGTGTGGCCAACTCTCGATCTTGGTCAGGCTGATGTCCCGGAACGCGAAGGCCGGCAACACCTTGAACATCACCGACGTCCCCTCCCTCTCGATCTTGGTCACGAACCGCGTCACGTCGCCGGCGTCGTCCTGGATGCCGTCGGCGAGCACCTGAAGCCCGTAGAGGTCAATGGCGCAGGAGGATGCGATGGTGGCGGTTTCCCGGAGCTCCGCGGCAGCGACGTGCCACGGTGTCATCGAAGGCTAGATTCCGCAGCTCTTTTGGCGAAAAGTCGTTTGCACGCCGCTCTGTAGCCAGCCGGCAACCGCCCAGCGCTCGTCACAAGAAAAGTTTCCTCGGATCCATGCACACATCAACTTTCAAGCAACACATGCGACTTTGTTGCTGAAACGACGATGGGCTTTGTGCAAAATTTGACACAAGTTCTAGCCGCTGAACTTGATTTCACAGCCGAGTTGAGGACCATGGCGTTGAGGGTGAGCTCGCACTGGGCGAGCACCTGAGGGTGGGAGTTGACGCGGGTGAGGAGGTCCCTGCGGATGCCCGGAAGCGCGAGGAGGCAGTGGTGGACGGGAACAGGAGGAGGTCCGGCGTGGCGACGTCGATGACGAGGGCGAGGGCCTCCGCGCGTACCTCCTCCGCCTCCCACGCCGGCCGCTGCCGCGTGCCGCCATCGCCGATGGCAGTGACTTGATGGCGGCGGCGTTGAGTCGAAGATGGCGACAGCCGTGCGCCGCCATCGCCGACCGCACGAAGGGGATGAGGAGGCTGGCGAGCTCGCGCCGCCACTCGGGAGCCGCCGTCGCCGGCCACACCACCCTCCGGCCGCGCGGGACGCCGCCCGTGCGAGAGCAGGGAGCGAGAGGGAGGAAGGAACGAAAGAAAAAAAGAAAGAGAAGAGGGGGAAAGATAATGGTGCTGACGTGGCACCCCGACATGTGGGGTCTACATGGGCTTCACGGTGACTCAGCCGCCACGTGGGACAAAACCGGGGTTAAAACCGCCGAGGGATCTAGTTTGCACTGGTTTTGTAAGTTGAAGGATCCGTTATATCCGGTTTTATGGTTGGGGGACGATTTCGTAACTCCATGACAAGTTGAGGAACTTTCGGTGTACTTTTTCCCAAATTGTGGGACCTGTGAACTTATTCCTTCCATTGTAAACATATGGGCTGGAAGTGAGGCCCACCCAAAGTTCTGAAAGAAGGCCCGAAGAAGCCCACAATATTTACCACAAGTTTCTTTTCAGTCCAGCCCACGTGGCTACGGTCGCCTGGAACTTGGAGGCGGCGGCGGCACCCCCCCCCACCCCCCCCCCACTACCACCGGCGAGGCGGCGACGGCGGCGGCGGCGGCGAGCTCCCCTGCGTATTAGTCATCGGCGCCGTCGCAAGCTCGTCTCGCGGTCCATTTGTTCGTAAGCGGCGGCGGCAGTGCTCCCAGGCAGGCCCCTCTAAAACCCTGGACGCCAAGATGCTGCGCTGCGTGTACACGCAGCGGCGGTGGGCGCACCGGCGGGGAGGCTTCGTCACCGGCGGGACCGGCTGGTCGCAGCGGCGCGCCCCCGCCGCGGCGGCGGCTGTTGGCGCGGGCGCGGGCGCGAAGAAGTCGGAGTGGTGGGCGGTGGACGGCGAGATGCACGAGATCGGGGAGGGCGTGCCGCACCGCGAGCGCTTCGCCATCCCGCGCGACAACCTCCCCAACCGCCGCCGGAAGCAGATGCGGGAGCAGTTCATGCGCCGCACGCGCCTCGTCCTCAAGGACACGGTAAGCTGCCGCCGCCGCGCGCCCGCACCTGTAGTTAGCTGAGCTCTGCTCCTCCCCCAATCCCCCCGCGCTAGGATTGGATTACCCATTCCTTTTGTTGAAACAATGATTGGATTGAGCTCGGCTGCTTGTTTCTGAACAATTTGGTTGAGCCCAAATGGAAACGAACTCTGCAATTTGATTTGTGCAGGCAAGTACTGATGTACTACCACTTATTATGCATTTATTAGTTTTCATTGGGAAGTAGGATAAATCTCCTTGCTAATAAGCTAGCAGAAATTTGGAATCATGGGATAGGAAAAATTGAGAAACATGGAATGAAACTCAAGATGCTATTGTATCTTAATGCAGTCAGTAACAAGCAGCAGAAATCATTGACAAAATGGGGTCTGAATTCAGTTTTTTTTTAGAAGATCTGAATTCGAATATTAAGCCATGTCTTCTCTAAGCGGATGATGCCCCCTTTTCCTAGATCCGAAGCCGCTGCCATTTTGTCCTATTAAAAATCATGGAAGTTCTGCAGCAACTCAACTTTGTACATTAATTTTTTTTTTCCTTTTCATGGTTAGTAAGATTTTTCTGCCTTGCTCTTTAAGACTAATTATGTTTTAGCCAACTTCAATCTGCTATTATCTGCACACTCGCACTTATATCTTTTCTACTTTTAGTTGGTCACACACTGAACATGTAATCTCTCAGATCTCTTCTTTTTGGCAATAGAAAGGGGGCGTATGAGCGTATCGATGTATGGTGCAAACAGAAGAACATGTTGATGCACCTTTGTTGTTAGTGTACGATTCAGGACAAGAAAAGGGCAAACCAAATTCACATTATTTATTCTTCATTTCTGAGAGCCAGTGTAACTGAGGCCATCCTAACCTGATTTTTGTGAGACCTAAGCATGGTTAGCTGTTTTCTTGTGGATTGCACATACTGATTCTTGAAATACATTTTAGGCATGTCGTACACTTTATATAACTATCGGTCCATTATTTCGTTCATTAGTCAGTGCCAAAACTTTGGTCACCAAAGCACTTTTCGCTGGTTTTGACTTTTGAGGTGAAGAGATACAAACTATGTGAATTGTGAAGGCTTTGATATGGAAATAAGATACCATGAAAATTCTGTGTTGCCATAGCTTAGGTTAGGCATTTCTTGGAATAAACCAGACAGGTGCATGTACTGTGTGAGAATTCATGATTTTGGATTCGTGAAAAATCATTATTTCTTACAGCAAGAATTTTGGACTTTGGAAAACAACATCAAGTTCAGGTTTTTGTTGTATTTCATATCTCATGCCTACCTGTCATCAAGGTTTTTATCAAAAGCATTCATGTCAGTTACCTTTTTTAGTCGAACATTCTGTCTCTTCGTTTGTTTATTTGAGTTGCCCATGATGTGCAATTCATGAGGACAAATTGCATTAAATTCTTTTGTTCGAACTTTGAAATGTTCCTTGTGGCCAACTGTAGTTAGGAGCACAATTAACTATTTAATACAGTAAATGGACTGTGCATAATGAACTGAACTGAATGGAAAATTTGCCGATCCTCTATTTATAAAGTGCTATGTTTAATATCATGAGAGAACATATTATTTTATTATTCATGAACTAGTGTGCAAAGGCTCCATGTGCTTTATCGGCTTACAGATATCAGCATGGCCTTTCATATTAGGTGACTGAATACCACAAAATTTACAGGAACATGAAGCTTGGTGTAAAAAATATATGGAACTATACCAAGAACTTAGAGAGAATTGGGAAAGGTTATATTGGGATGAAGGTTATTCCAAAAAGATTGCTGAAGATCATGCTAATTATGATTCTGCTGAAGAAGATGATCTAGACTTCTCACCTTACAGGTAGAAAATTTTGAAGGGATTTATTTTTGTCTTGTTTATTTGCTAGTCAAATTGCTCAGTTTTTGTCAGAATAAACCTGAGTTAATTGTATGTGCAATTCTTTGATAAATGTTTGATATAATTGAAACTGCTTCCTCTTATTTTATTGTTTGTAGTATCTCTCCTTTTCATTATGTGTTATTGCAACTAAGATTGAATTGAATTGTTTTCCTCATATATATATATTTATCTTAGATTTCCAGCCTATAAATGTTTAGCAATATTCTTTAACTAGTTATCCTTCTGAAGGGTCTTGCTCGAAATAGAGTGCCAATAATATTTGTCATCTGTGGAATGATCTCATCTGTTGTTTTCAATTGCAGCAGGAGAAGGCACACCAATGTAGAGCCAAACAAGGTAACCTCATTGTATTTTTGATGGACCTTATATAATATCATTTATTTATGTAGAAACCTGCCTGTAATGTTCCAATCTTGCTATGCTAAGGGTGTCGGCTATCCTTTCATATGGAAACACAAAATTTCTACCTAAGCTAGCTAGACTGAAGGGGAATTCTTACTAATCCATGCATAACCTATGGGTGTTCAAACTGGTTTTGCCAACCCATTTGTAACTGCGCCATGCACACATAGACTGCACCCCTGAAAGTAATATAAACAAATGAATGTTCATTTCTGCATGTCCATTCAGGTTGCCAAGCCCAGTTGACCTGGTATGAACAACCCTAGTGTCAAACTTCAGTGGACATTTTTTTTTCTACTATAATGCATGACATTAACTGTAGTCAAAAGTCTACGACCTCCCATTATTTTCTGGGAAAACTACTGAATACTGACCATGGGCAATCAGATTCAGCACTTGGCAGTATTGGAGATATGCCCTTAAGAGTTAGAGCTCATTAGCGGTACTTTAGTGGTGTAGTTTGTCTTTGCAGCTGCTTTAGTCAAAGGTTTTGGTGGCATTGTCTAAGTAGTATTTAAGCACACATCTTCATGAGTGTGATGACACTACGCAAACTTAGCAGCACAATCCTAAGTTAGCATTGACTTTATTTCAGGACATTGGTTTTACGGCAAGCAAACAAGGTGAAACATGGGAAAGGGTTACTCAAATTCGTGACAAGTTTGAATATGACAGAGAGAGAAGAATGAGGGAACGAGGTAAACATCATGTCTTCATAGTTCATACTGGAATTTTTCTTTTTTGTCTGCCATTGCTATTTGTACCCTCAGATAATGTATAGGTAAATGGTAAAAAATGTTAGGCATTTTCACTAACCCAGGATATAATTCTGTACCAAGTTGCTGATCCTTGGCTCGCCGGGCACTCCATTCCTAAAAAAATGCATTTCCACAACCTCCTGTCCATAAAATTATTGATACTACTGTTTTTATAGTAAACATGTCATGTTAAATGTGTTGCCCAGTAACTGTTTTTACACTGTTAGACATTTTGCACATGAAGTTCTGTTGGTATTACTTTCTTTCAGCCTCTATATGCCATGTTTAATTATGTTCTTTTTGTCTTTCTTTCTCTATGATGCAGCATTTGCTCCCATGAATATGGAGAACAACTTTGGGCAGCATGACTCGAGATTCAGGAACCGACATGATTCAAACTATGCCCCTAGAAACATGGAAAATAAATTTGGTTCAAATGACTCAGATTTTGGAACCCAATCTGGTAGAAGTTTCCGACATGATCCAAGTTTCAGGAACCAGCACGGTTTGAATTTCCAAAATGAATCAAGTTTCAGAAATCACCAGTATCCAAATTTCCAAAACCAACGAGACCCAAGAAACCGCGTGATGTCTTCTGAAGATCAGGAATTGATGTCTTCTGATGATCAGGAATTCTAATAAGCATGATCTTGCCGAGTGCGAGGTGGCCAGTGAAAATTGTACAACTGAAGCGTGCTGATTTTGTAACTCTGTTAAGCATAAACAGAATGAAATGCATTTTACATTGGCAACTGTAGTATAATGTCAATGTGTCCCTTCATCGTTGAGACTTGAGAGAAGGGTTGAGTGTTGTAGGAATCATCACCTGCCTTTTACCCGTCTCTTCATTTGTGATGATTCAGAATACTATATCTAGTATCTACAACAAATAGTTATACACTGACTGTGGCAAAGTACAACGACAACCTCAAAAAATGCTCAGATCCAGCGTGAATTTTGTAAGTGATAGAAAATAATGCCAATCCTAGAGTAGCGAATAGAAAATGAGGGCCATCTTTGGAGTGTTGCTGGAGCTTGTCGCCTTCAAAAGCTCCTTAGTGGGACGGCTAACCTAGGCAACTAAGCTCCCCGAGTTGTCTAGTGTGTGTGGGTCTTGGTAGGAGGGCTCGGGCACTCCTACTTTGTTTTTTCTTTGTGTTGTGTTTTTTGTATTGTTTTTTCTTCCCCTTAATGAAATGAAATGCAGCTCTCCTGCCTTTTTGAGGAAAAAAAAGCGTGAATTTTGTTGGTATTTTCTTTTATGCAGGATCACCATTTCGATAGGGCTCACCCTATCTAAAATTTTCCTTGAAGTTCATATATTACCAAACCCTAAAAAAGGGCAGGAAATTACATTTAAATTGTCGTCCATAGCTATAGCTTGGAGTCGTGAGTTAGTTTCTACTTCCTCTGTTTTATATTATAAGACTTTCTAGCATTACCCATATTCATATATATGTTAATGAATCTAGACATATATAAATCTAGATTCATTAATATTTGTATGAATATGGGTAATGTTAAAAAGTTATATAACCTGAAACGGAGGGAGTACTATCTAACAAGCATACTCGATGCCAATTTTCTAAGCTTTTATGTTTTTACAAAAATTCTCCAAAATAAGATTGTCAACAATTTCTGACATTGTTTTTTTCTAAAAAAAAAAACACACCCACTACAAACGCTGACAATATGCACACACTCACCCGGTCACCTTATGAGCACATCTCAAAAACACGAGCACTCATACTAAATCTATCTATGACTTTAATCGGGATGAGTACGTCTCACCAAAAAGAGCTTAGCTATTCGAACTATGCTGCTTGGCCCTTTGTTTTTTTTTTTAGTGATAGAGAGCGAAATAGGCTCTTTTATCGTTGGCAATCGCTGACTTTTTTTCAGTTTTAGATTTTTTTAAAAAAATATTTACAGAAATAATCTATCGGCCAAAAAAATTACAAAAATAGACCCTGCCGCCCACCTCTGGGGCGGCAAGCTGACGTGGCAAACGGGGGAGGAACGGGCGGTGACGGAGGGAGGGTTTTTTGCAGGAAAACCCTTGCCGCCCTCTGGTGGGGCGGCAAGGGGCCCGAATGCAAAAAAGCCGGTCGGGGCCGGCTATTTTGCAGGCGGCCCCTTGCCGCCCTCTGGCCGGGCGGCAGGCCTCGCTGCCTATAAAAGGCCTGCTGCCCAGCCCCCAGCCCTCATTCTTCTCTCCTCAATTCCAGTGAAAAAAAAAAGAAGAGAGGGGAGGAGAAGAGAAGAAGGGGCGAAGCCCTGCCGGATTCAGACGCCGATTTCAGGTAATATTCATAGATCCTATATGTGACTATTGAGTTAAATAGTGTGTATTCTTTAAAAATTTGTTTGAATAAATGCATTATATTTTTAGGGTTTTAGTTGTACTAATCTAGAAGTGCGTATTGTAGATATCGGTAACTACGTAGATCTGCTAGTTTGGAATCAATACATTACCATTGCATTGGCTTACACAAGAAGATATTACGTTGTAGATGTTTATTGCATGAAAGAGTAATATGATCTAGTTATTTCGTTGACAGATATGTCGAACAAACAAATATTCCAAGTTTACCATGGACCAGGAAACGTCCGTTACGGGCCAACTGGGGTAGATCTGTCAAATTTTATTGTATCAGAAAGGGGAATTGATAGACCGGCTGAGAGGAGTGTACCTTCTATAAAAGGATGGTTAATGAGGGGCTTGAGAGTTGATCCACAGACAAGTGACATAACAATCAATGTTATAGTAAGTCGGGCAACTGAGGGTTTTTATTGGGAACTAATGCCAGTTCAAAACTCTCGAGTGTGGAGATGGTATTTGGAAAATGCATTGCAACGCGGGTGGCCTCTAGCTTTGGTTCCGTTTGTTCACCCGAAGGATCCAGGTGTGCAGATGAACATGGATGATGGCGAGGGACCAAGTGCTGAAGTAAACGAGACTTCTGTGGAGGAGGTCAACGCACGAGACGACGGGGGCATAGTAGCTCCAGTGGGCATTCAACCAGGTGGAGTGGCCGACGAGGGGGAGACTGTCGGTGCCATTGTGGATGAAATGGAGAAGGAGGATTCCGATAACGAGCGTGTAGAGGAAGGTGATTCGTCAGATGATGAGACTGATATTAATCCAGCAGAATGGGCTAGTGAGGATTTTTCTGGGCTGATCGTCTCTGAAGAGGATAGTGTGAGATGGGAGTACAAAGAAAATGAGGTTATTCAGGGAGCGATTTATAGTAGAGCAGAAGATATGAAGGAGGCGGTAAAACATTTTGCAGTGTCACTTCATAGAGAGTTTTGGGTTGCCAAGTCGAACCGGTCGCAATATGAAGTTCGGTGTGTTAAGGAAAAAGATGGTTGTCCCTAGAGAGTGCACGCGTATAAGGGGAAATGGAAGGATTATTGGACAGTGTCAGTCGTTACCAAGCATACATGTTTTCTACCTGGTGTTCAGAAATACCACAGGAACATTACTTGTGCATTTGTTGCATCTGAGATGTATGCGCATGTCATCGATAATCTCACATATGAACCAAGGTCAATAATCCGACACATCGAAGAGACATACAAGTATACTATTAGCTATGCCAAGGCCTGGAGGGCCAAACAGAAAATAATAGAGATGAGATTTGGAACTTACGAAGCCTCGTATGACAATTTGCCACGCCTGCTTGGTGTTATCGAGGAAAGAAACCCTGGGAGCTCTTACGAAGTGAAGAAATTCCCCTCAATTGAACATCCTAGCAAGAGTGTGCTGCAAAGGGCGTTCTTAGCTCTACATGCATGCAAGATGGCATTCGTGAACTGTCGTCCTGTTCTCTGCATTGATGGGACATTCTTGACAGGAAAGTATCGGGGCCAGATACTAACAGCAATAAGGGTAGATGGGAACAATCAGGTATTGCCCTTGGCATTTGCTTTTGTTGAGAGTGAGAATACCGACAGCTGGTACTGGTTCCTGAAATTGGTTAAAACAAAAGTTATTGGTATGAGGCCAAATGTGTGCCTGATACATGATAGGCACGCTGGCATTCTGCGAGCGATAGAAGAGTTGCAGTTTGGAAGTATGGAACGAGGATACCCCGGTGTTTGGGAAGATGTACAGAGTAGGTGGTGCATGCGTCATATGGGAGCTAATTTCTTCAAGCAATTCAAGAACAAGGAGCTCATGAACATGTTCAAGAGGCTGTGCAATCAGAACCAGGAGAAAAAATTCAATGAGCTTTGGAAGAGATTAGATGAGTTGACAGCCAAATGCAGTGATCAGCGTGCAGCGGCTCCATCGACCGCCGTTGCTGACCCTCCTCAAGCTCTTGGACCTCTCCCAACGGATAGTCCAATATTGGTTAGAAGAACTGGATTGGAGATTCGGAAATTTTCTCAGTGGATTCTGCATGAACCAAAAGAGAAATGGGCCAAGGCGTATGACACAGGTGGTGCTAGATATGGAATAATGACAACAAATTTGGCAGAAGTTTACAACTGGGTGATGCGCGGTGTCCGTGGACTGCCACTAGTTGGCATAGTGGAGTTCATTTTACATGGGACATGCAGGTATTTTAGGGATCGGTTCCAGGCAGTTCTTCCCTCTATGCCGAACAACAGCATTTTGTTTGGAGCTTTCATACAGAAAAAGCTAGAGGAGTTGCGTAAAAAGGCCATGAAACATCGAGCTCTAGTGCAAGGTACCCAACAGCACAGGTTTGAGATACTATGTCAAGATAAGGCAGGCAGGGGTATCTACCGCAAGAGAGTGAAGCAGGAGTGTGTTCTCAAAGCCGACGGCACATGTCATTGCTCTTGTGCAAAGCCGAAGCTGCTCCACAGGCCATGCACCCATGTCATTGCTGCCGCAGCGGAGTGTGGCATACCAGATGCAGTATATGTGTCACAGTACTTCAGTAAGCAAGCAATATATCATACATGGAGCGGCCAGATTTATGGGTTCGGCATAGCTGGGGAGTTCACAGAGACTAACGATGAAGTACTCAATATTCCTGACCCATCGAAGCTCCGAGGCAAGGCTGGAAGGAGGAGGACTCGTCGCATCCGCAACGATATGGACGAGTCGGAGGCTGGCATGGTGAAGCGTTGCAGCAAATGTGATGAACATGGGCACACCTACAAGCATTGTCCTAAAGACAAGGAGAAACCAAGTGCGGCGGAGGCAGGACTATCAGGATCAGCAGCAGATGGAGCTCGCCCTATGGGTGAAGGCACTACCTCCACTCGACCACGTCCTAGGCGTCGTCGTGCCACGTCTGGCTACGTGGTGTAGTTCTTATGTTCTATGTCGGCATGTGGATTTGCTTGTAATTCGTTTCGAACTTATCGATGTGTTTATGTTTCGTCGTGTAATGTCAGACTTCGGCATGTCATGTCTTTAGGTCTCGTGATGTAACGTCGGACTAAGGCGCCTAACGTCTTTAGGTATGCTGATGTATGTCGGACTTCGACACGTAATGTTATGTTATATTATTGAACTCTACATATATGTTAAATTGCACGTCATCGTTATGTACCATTAGTAACGTTTGCTATATTTAAATAGCTTGTACTCTTGTTGTACATAATTAATCTCATGATTTTATTACTATTTTATAATTTTGAAAGTTATCTTTTGTTTTACATTACTATTTTTTGAATTGTTCTAACACGAAACACTATATTTTCCAGAGATGGCACGTCAGGATACACCTCAGTTGTTGGACCCGGCGATAGATCACCGACACCGGTCTCACCTTACTGCGGTGCAGGGGGCTCAGCTTGGGACGTTCCGGGCACGGACGTGCGGTGAGCTACTCACGGTTCACGACTCCTTTGTCGAGAGGTACGAACAGTGTTTTACTATAAGTTAGTTGCACTGTAATATTTTTTATAATGACATATTAATTTGTTATTGCAGGCTACGTGAGGCCGGCCTCCTACCGATGTGTCGGCTGGTGGAGGCTGCGGCCGGCGATGCGGACCCGGCCAGACGATGGACTGTGGACAGGTCCCTCCTAGCAGCTTTGGTCGATCGATGGAGGCCAGAGACGCACACTTTTCACTTGCCGTGCGGTGAGGTAGCCCCTACCCTACAGGACGTATCGTACTTGTTGGGGCTACCGCTCGCGGGAGACGCTGTTGGGCCAGTGACCACGGCTGTGGACTGGCAGGACGATCTGACGGCACGTTTCGCACTAGTACAGCGCGCACCGCACCTCCCGCTCGAGCCGTTGGCACACCACCGCAACACCGGACCTACGAAGAGGTGGCTGCTTCAGTTCACCGTGAGTGTTTTTGTACCGAAATGACAATCGTATTACATATTTAGTCCGCAGTTAAGGTGCCTAACATTTTATCGACGGCTTGCAGGTTGAGCAGCTACAGGCGGAGGCCGACGAGTACTCCTACAGCCGATGTTTGGAGGCGTACTTGCTCTGGCTTTTTGGCTGGGTGATGTTCTGTGGCGGTCACGGGCACGCGGTCGACAAGGGACTCGTGCACTACGCCAGGAGCATCGCCGACGCCGCGGTAGGCGAGGTGCCTCAGTGGAGCTGGGGTTCCGCGTTGTTGGCGGCTCTGTACCGTGCACTTTGTGAGTCTTGCACGAAGACGGATCCCAGTGCGACCTTTGGTGGGTGTCCTCTCTTTCTTTCTATCTGGGCAGCTGAGAGGATTGCGATCGGCCGCCCTGAGGTGGACCAGCACGCGTACGAGGAGTCACTGTACGAGGAGCGACCAGAGGTCGACTACCCTACGATGAGTACTCTGTGGTGCCGTCGTCAGGTACGTTGCATCGATCTTATCGTATTGTTAAGTTAATTGCTAAGTTCATTGTACATCACATCGATCGTCTCGTATTGCAGCGCCGATGGGCTCACGTCCAGGTTAGGCGGTCGTATCCTGAGTTTGTTATGGAGTTCGACCGCCTTCTGCCGACTGACGTCGTGTGGGAGCCCTACAGTGCCGCGGCTACCCAGGCTCGTGCGCCGTTGGGTCTGTCCACACTCTGCACCAGGGACCAGGCGTACTGGATGACTACGGTTCCGATGGTGTTCGACATCTGCGTTGAGCCTCACGCCCCTTTCCGCGTAATGCGGCAGTTCGGCTTCCGTCAGCCCTTTCCAGTACCGTTTCCGACCACCGTCCCAGCTGCTGTTCACCGGTAAGATCTTGCACTACGCTTTCCGTTGTTGCATTAAAATCTGCCTGTTCACAATAATTTGTAACATCTGTCGTTTCACACTAATATTACACATTAATTCGCAGGTACTCGCGCAAGGGTCAGCAGTCAGCTGGCGACTGGCCCGCCAAGTTGGCGACTTTTGTTGAGGACTGGTTGCTCGCAACCGAGGAGGTCGTGGACCACGAGGGAGAGCCACACACTGAGGAGTCGTACCAGGCCTACCTACGCTGGTACCAGCCACGCACCCGTACTAGGGTCACCTTCGCTCCCTTGGAGCAGCAGCCCCACGTTGCGAGCACTAGAGACCTCTATGCCAGGCACCACGACCAGGACTTCCCTCGTGCTGTGAGTACCCTGCATCGCATCATTCCTTTATGTTTTCATGTCTTTCTCTTCGTCAAATTTTACGAATATTTACGAACAAATTAACCATGCAGGTCGACGACATCAACCGGGTCGTCGTTGACGGTTCAACGACGATCCAACGTTTAGGCGCGGGGATTCCGGTACCCGTAGAGGAGCACCTGACGACGTACACGCGGATGGTGGAGTCGATGCGCTCGATTCTCCGAGTGCTCACCTGTCATGCAGACGACGTTGCTCGGGCAGACGCAGCTGTACAGCGGCCACCCGTACCGACTGGTCCCCATCCAGCTGCGCACGTTCCTAGGCCGACTCTCCCTCCGCACGGAGGTAAGTATTTTTATTACTATTTCTGTACATGCCTCGCACACATATAAGTGAGCCGTTTCACTTGCCGATTGCTTCAGGGTTTCGTGCACCGTTCAGCACCCCGCCTTCCTCGGCTAGGCCTTCTGTTGTGCCCCCCACAGGTACTTAAAAAAACAACATTACTTCGACAATCAATTTACATACATTTTATGTCTTAGCTTACAAGGGTCCCGTTGTCGATGTGTAGGTTTCGCCCAGTTCGCTATGACGCAGGCCGCCCACTTCTCCCAGGCTGCAGGGTCAGCGTCTCAGGCAGCTGTGTCGACCTCGCACTCAGCGCAGTTCTGGCAGTACACCGGGACTTCGTCACAGGCAGCCGGCACGTCGAGTCAGGGTCCACCACTGGACCATGCTGGGACCTCGTCGGACCGCTTGCTGCCTTCCACCTTGCTCTTCGACATCACTGACTTCGACTTCGCTTCAGGCTCGACAGAGGATGTCATCGGCCCCTCACAGCTGAGAGGCGCACCGCCGGTGCAGACGTAGGACCAGGCGCAGGCCACTCCTCCGCGGGACACTCGTGCTACCCGTGCTATGCCACCGGATCGTTTCACCTACTCCCAGGACCACGTGCGAGCACAGGCCCAGAGGACCAAGCGTGGTCGCGGCGCGGGGCAGGGCCAGTAGAGCAGTCTTCTCTTTGTTTACTTGCTTCACTTTCCAGTACTGTATGCTTGTGTAATGACTACGTTGTTGTTATATGTGCACGATACCTTTCGGCGCATGCACGACTACTTTCTGCCGCACCGATGCAGCCTCCTTTATTCGCGTGTGATACGAGTATTTGCCCGCCATTTGGCGCATACGACCAATGTAACTTTCGGCGCCGATCATGCATGTATCTTTCGGCGCCAATCAGGCGTACCCACCATACCCCACCACGTTCACATGTCAAGGGTATCACTCGATTTTTTGCGCCTATATAAGTCGCCTTAACGAGTGAGTCTCACAATCTTTCAGAACTCAGTCACATTCAGTACTCTCTTCCCCACTTGCTTCATTACAAATCCGACCGGCTTTCGTCAATGGCTAGACGCCGGGGTGTTGAGGATCCAAACTGGCGTAGCGATCCTTGTGTATACCTACTACCACCTTGGTGCCAGCGTCCTCTCTGCCTATGCGGTGATCGATGCCAACTAATGGCTTCGAGGAATCCTGATATTCGAGGAAGGCGCTTTTTTAGGTTCCCTAACTATGACCGTGAGGTATTTTATTATCTGCATATGCTTATTCATTCCGTATGGGCAATCGCTTTATTCTTCGTAACACTACTCTATTCGACAGACCCGCACTACGGCTTGCGCATACATCGAGTGGGTCGATACAGAAAATCCCGTTCTCGACCTAACCACTTGTTTACAAGAAGGTCGCTGGTATTTCGCATCCGAAAGTACTGAGCAATACTTACAGAGAAAAGCGGCTTATGAACGACAATGTCGTGAACAACAGAGCGACTGGCGGGTGCTAACTACGGCACTCCCTCCATGGGAAGCCCGTCCAAGATGCAGGTGTGGTGATCGTTGTCAGGTTCTTCGTTCCATAAATCCTACAACATTGGGTTGAAGGTTCTTTGTTTGTCCAAATATTCTTGACGACGATTTCATGGTAAGAATATTTTGATTACATGAATCCTTATTTTCTCACAACATTTACTAACTTTGCTTGCTTTACATCTATTCTTTCCTCCCAGGAACCACCAAGGAGATGTCAATACAGAGAATGGATAGACACCAGAAGGGTTCTAACTCCACCTAGCCGTGTTGTGCAGCTTGAACTACCAGAGCAATACAAGGTTACTAAAGCGCGGTTTGAGAGAGGAGAGGGATCCTCACGTAGGGGTTAGCTATTATCGGACAACTTGGCATATTGAAATTTTTACTGTCATGTTTCCTTGTCCCATTACTACATCGTCGTTGTGTTCAACTATTGCACTACCTCCCTCCTAGTTCGAATCTAATATCATCTATGTAACCGCAATGCAAATAATTGTATCATGTTCAAATTGTACTACTATTTCTTCATGTTACATAATTCTCCTTGTTTAAGTCCATATAATGTTTCTACGACCCAGACTGCGATAGGCCTATATAAATTATCCGAGTACTAATACGTCGAATAAGGTACAAAATAATACCTCACTTAACATATGAAATTGCGCAACAACCAACTTCAATACATTTTTATAACAATATTAACAAGTTTTACCAATAAATACTTCTTTATAACAATATTAACAAGTTTTGCCCCAATAAGGACGGCAAGGGACCCAGATGAAAAAAGTACGGCCGCAAGTTCTTTATGGGCGGCCAAAATTGCAATTAGCCTATGGGCGGCAAGGGCCTAATCGCAATTTTGGCCGACGGCGGCAGACGGCGCGGTCGACCCACCGTCTGCCACGTCAGCTTGCCGCCCACCATTAGGGCGGCAGGGGCTATTTCTGCAATTTTTTTGGTCGATAGATTATTTCTGTAAATATTAAAAAAAATCTAAAAACGAAAAAACTTCGGCAATCGCTTTCTGTATTCTGTAAAAGAAGCCCAACGAAGCTACGGAGCCCGGCCCACCAAGAAGCAACCCCCCTGGTAAGCCCCAGATGAAGCGACAACCCGATCGGACGGTCCAGATTCACGCGATGCCAATATAAGACAGTCACCACGCCCACGCGCAAAACCCTCGAGACCTAGGGCTTCCTCCTTCCCCTCCGAGCACCGCCGCCGCCGCCGCCACCGCCACCGCAGCCTGACCGCTCGGTCTCCGGCAACCAGGTGCGAGTCCCCCCCCCCCCCTTCCTGACCCCAGCTCAAGCGAGGCATTTCTCGTGTTCGTCAGTTCTATCCATGTGGTTGCGCTCGAGTGTGTTGTTCCTTTCGTCTGATCTGAAGGCCCCCCGTACCTGATTTTGTTTGTGAGCTACGTGCTGTTCTTGAGTCTGCTGGGTTATACTGTAATCATTCCGACCATCCGGGTTAGCTAAGAGTTTTTGGTTGCTAGATGTTGAGAGTGGCATCGCTGGTGGTTGGGTGGATCTCCAGTAACCATGTATTTTTGTTAGTATAGTATTTATCTGCGATTTAGTTGTTGGTCTTGGTGGACAATTTCGAGTCCTTTCGATTTGGGAATGACTCGCAACTAGGATGTTGGTGCTTTTGTACGGTCGATTTGCAATGTAGCGACTAGCGAGCTATCCATTTCAACAGATTATTTTTACTACCTGGGGGTTTCGTGGGGCAGAAATGTGTAGTGTCTTCATGAACACTTAATCTGCTGACTAACTATTGACACAGTGGGAGAAGTTTTGGTTTAAAGGAAATCTGGTTTTCATGTTGCTTTGTTGGCATTTCAAGGTAGCAGCTTCGTATGGGATTTTATTTAGGAATGTGTTCTTTCTGTTAGATTCAGAATGCTAAATGTAGCAGTTAAAAGTGTGACACTGATTTTGTTGGTTTTCTTAATGAAGCAGCTGACGGTTGCAATTTCATTTGCTAGAAACTACGATGTAATGCTTAGGAAGTCCAACAGCCAATTAATTTTAGACCATTGTTCTAAAATGGTATGATGTGGTAGTCTGATGGATCCTTTAGTTGCATGCATTATATACTTGTTCACATGTTACAAATCATGCATTCATCTGTGATAGTTGTCCATACTTATATAATGATGTTTGGCATCCTTGAGGTCATTTTTTCTATAAAAAAGGCTATTTGCTATCTTTTGAAAGTACATTCAAATGTTTGTAGTTGAACTCTGTATTAGTGATATACATTTAGTCATTAAGTTGTCTTATGCTCGGTTTGGACAGATGCCTACCTGTTTCTTTTTTTTTTTGGTAGCTATTGTTTGTGTGTCAATTATTCAGTGTTTACCAGTTGGAGCTATGTTACAAATGTGAAATGGTTTTACTACTGTCTTTATTGAAGCTTGTAGTTTTTTAAGGTGTGTTTGTTGCCAACGGTACTTATCTTTTGCAGACAAAATGGTGAGAGTCAGTGTCCTCAACGATGCTCTGAAAACAATGTACAATGCTGAGAAGCGTGGGAAGCGGCAAGTGATGATCCGACCCTCATCAAAGGTTATCATCAAGTTTCTCATCGTGATGCAGAAGCACGGTAAGCCTTCTCTCTGTGTTTATGCATGCTCACTAGTAATACGAGCTGCAAACCTATAGTTCATTTGTCAGGAGTATTGAGACTGGTGCCTTAACTGGTCATACTGTATATCCTCAATGTAGGCTACATTGGTGAATTTGAGTTTGTTGATGACCACCGCTCTGGCAAAATTGTTGTTGAGCTGAACGGACGCCTCAACAAGTGTGGTGTCATCAGCCCTCGCTTCGATGTTGGTGTCAAGGAAATCGAATCATGGACTGCGAGGCTGCTTCCCTCCAGACAGGTTAGTAAAGAAGCTATAATTTATTTGGGAACATCCATTAGCTTCAGTTCTTTTTTCTGTGAAATGTTACTAATGTTTATTGTTTGTTGCTCTCCAGTTTGGGTACATTGTCCTTACTACTTCAGCTGGCATTATGGACCATGAGGAGGCTCGCAGAAAGAACGTTGGTGGGAAGGTCCTCGGTTTCTTCTACTAGAAAGATATATCTTGTTGACACTCTACGGGGATTTCTTATACAGTAGATGGATTCTCCCAGTAGGTGTTAGTGGAAGAGCATTTTATTAGCAGTTGAGTCAAAAACCTTGTTAAGATGATCCTCGAATGTCTGAATTGCCCCTTAATGTCATATGTTGTCTGTTTAATTTTGCTTGGCGACTTGAGTAAGCTGCTGTATTCTTGCTCCTTGGAGGCCGCATGCTTTTTTTGTTAACTTTTTATAAGTTATTACTGAAAATTCCTGGAAGATATTCTATCATTTTTTTGGTCTAGCCACTTCACTTGATAAACTGCATAACGTATAGTTCAGTAAATCCACTAATCCCTGTTCACTGGACAGGAAGCTTTATTGAAGTTGTAATATACTCCTACAAGCAGATAATAGTTCTAGCTAGCAGCATTTTGCATGTTGCTAGTTACTCTGATGTCTGATCATCGTTCGAAAAAGAGGTGTTGCTTTGATCAGCTTTGCCGCTTGCATCATATATCATGCAAAATACTACTGAGTCGTGATTTGCATCACTGCTACGTGTGCGGTTGCCACCGCCCACCATCAACTTCTTTCCTACGCATTGATATCGAGTCGCACGTTAAGTTACAGTTAGTCATAGGATTGGGATTCGATGACATTGCTCAGGTGACATTCGCTGTGACATTGAATCACTGCCGTGTGGGACCCACGTGGGTCTAGGCACATGTGGGTCCCACATGTCAGTGACTCAATGTCACCGAGAATGTTACGGGGGAATGTCACTGAATCTGTGTCTGTTAGTCATATATTAGTTGTAAAGTTGATCAAGCCGTTAGTCATATATTAGTTGTAAAGTTGATCAAGCCACACGACTCGAAGGCCACTACTCCACCAAGTAGCTCGTCGCATGATTAGTCATGCTTAGTCATAAAGTTGGTCATAGATTAGTCGTGATTAGTTGTAGAAAAACTCCAATTCATCCTGCTAATTGGTTTATTGTGTTTACTACTATACTTACTTCGGTTTTATTTCTTGTTGACTTATTATCTTGCTGGCTACTCCATAATCTATAGTTTTTATAATATATAGCGCTTACTACACTATAACATTAGTAAAGATTATATAGTGTATCCATTGTTTTCACACAACTAAGCTGTGGACTACTCACCAAGTCAGCTCAGGGGATGCCTCGACTCGATTTTATGACTTGACAATGCGGCAAGGAGCTCGAACAATGTCATGAGCGGAGTGATTGGAGGAGGAGCATGAAAGGGAGTAGTGGCAACCGAATGAGACTAGGAGGTTTTGGGCACTTGGTGTGGGGGTATGAAGAGGATGAGGTGGGAGAGGCGAATGGAGCTAAGCTAGGGGAGGAAGCGGGAAAGGTAGGTTGGCAGCATGTAGGAGAGATGGGAGTAGAGTGTGGTCATGAAGAGGAGGTCCTCACTGACAAGTGGTGGGAGGGTGAAGTACGACAACAAAAGCATGAGTAGTAGCGGTGGCATAGCTTCTAGGGTCAAACTGGAGGTGAAGCCTCACGTAGGTATATCTGGAAAGGTATATAAGAAATATGTCCTTACGAGGCATGCATTCCGAAGAGTCCACTATGAGATAAATAAATTACTATGCATACAAGGGCTCCATGTAGGAACTAATGTTGCTACAAGAAATCACTATCGTAGCAAAATCTGCTCTAGGGCTTGTCTGGCAAATGGATGTAGGAAAATATATCCATTCATTCATTCTTCTTACCTCATTTAATTCTAACCATTTATTCATTGAGTATCTAAAGCATATTGTGGAAAATGACCATACCAACTGTTTCGATCGGCGTGTATATGGCTACGATAGTAAAACTGTTCCGTTAACATTATACGTATACATTTATCATTCATGAACATCAAAACTCTATTTTGGTGATTAATTGACCATTTCCCGTTTAATTACCTAGATAGTCATTCACATACTGTGCTCGATTATGATCTAAAGTAGTTTATTTAGACTTTCTTTGTTATAACCTTTTGTTTTACTTATTCAATACAACCAAAACCTATCACTATTTGAGTATTTATTGTAAAAATGTGCTGTGGGAAACTATATATTTAAAAAAGTGAAGTTATGGTTGTTCAATTAAGCAACAACATGAATGTATGATTTATATATTTGTATACACTAGCATATTGCCTGTGCGTTGCAACGAAATTTTAATTGATGAAAATGATCATTAACCTTTGCTATTATCATTATTTTATTATCATCTCTTAAATTCTACATATATTTGTAACTAAACCCTATCACCTCACAATATAATTCTTACTTCCCACAAAAAATAGAGGTGGTGGGGTGGTTGACATGTGGGACCTTATCTTTTCTTCACTCTAAAAGGGTAAGGACTAAGGAGGTGGTGGTGGGGCGCGATCGCTAATCGGTGCGCGCGCCGGCGGCGCGCGTTTCAGGCCCATAGGGCCCAGCACCGGCGCGCGCGCCTCCTTCGACGCTTTTTTTTCGTTTTTCTTTAGCGATTTTTTTTCGTTTTCTTTTCCACTTTTTTCTGATTATTTTTTTTAATCTTTAGCATGTTTTGAGTTTGAAAGTTTTTAAATTTTGAGTTGAAAATTTTTAAATCTGAATTTGAAAGTTTTCAAATCTCGAGTTGAAAGTTTTCAAATATGGACTTGAAAGTTTTCAAATCTCGAGTTGGAAGTTTTCTAATTTTTCAAATCTGGACTTGAAAGTTTTCGAATCTCGAGTTGAAAGTTTTCGTATCTCGAGTTGAAAGTTTTTAAAATTTGACTTTAAAGTTTAAAATTAAAATCGAAAATTTTCAAATCTAACTTAAAAAATTTTCAATCTGTTAGTAAAAAAATCTCCAAAATCTTTCTTAATTACTATCATTAGTGTTAAGTATATATTAACTAATGGAGATAGTTAAGTATATTAACTAATAGTGTTAATAGAGTAGGTTAATAAGGGAGGAGTGCTCGCTAGCTAGTAGAAGCGCGTCGCGTGTCGCATGGGCCGGGCCAACCGCGGGGGGAGGGGGTGGGGGCAACAGCCGCGCGCTAGTTAATTTGCTCGCGCGAGCTAGGACCCTCCGTGGTGGGGTGGCAGATTCACCACCTACCACCACCACTACTCCTTTTCAAAGAAGTATAGGTTTAAATCTCCAAAAGATACATAATATTATAAAATACCTATATATATTTGCGTTATATTTCCATATAATACTGATTAATCTTATGCATTTCGATTAATCTGTAAACGATACTCTTTTCATTCTACAACCGTATTCCCTCTTGTACGGCACTGATGTAAAGTTAGATGATCCTTTTTTACCTTTATACAGTATGTTCAGTCCAAAGTGAAAGTGTTCAGCTGCCCGAAGGCCCAGCCCACGGGAAAAAAGAACACTGCCCAAAGGCCCAGATAACTAGACATCCCGATCAGACGGCCCAGATTCACCAGATCCAGCTATAAAAATCCGGACCACGCCCACCACCCAAAACCCTCCGGCTCATTCTTGCCCACGCCGCGCCGCCGCCTCCTCCTCCTCCTCCTCCTCCTCCTCCTAGGGCTTCTTCTTCTTCCCCTCCTCCGAGCGCCGCCGCCGCCGACGAGATGGTACGATCCGTTCCTTACCTTCACCGCCTCATGACCCTCACCCTCAAGCCGATACGATTCGAGTGCTCTCTCTCCCCTCGCGCCAGCGCCTCTGATCTGACTAATTTTTCTCTTTTCGTTTGGATGTGCGACGCGGTGCGCAGGTGCTATCCAACGACATCGACCTCCTCAACCCTCCCGCGGAGCTCGAGAAGCTCAAGCACAAGAAGAAGCGCCTCGTGCAGTCCCCCAACTCATTCTTCATGGTATGACGTGAATCCCCGCACGCGCACGCATCTCGTACCTGTGTTTCCTTTCGTAGCTGCTGTTCCTCTTTTCTGTGAGAGACTACAGCTAAGTGTTTTTTTTCTTTGTTTTCGCTTGGTCCTGACGTTGTTCTTGGTTTGATCTGTCTCGTGTGTTGCAGGATGTCAAGTGCCAGGGATGCTTCAACATGTAATAACTTTTAACCTCAGTAGTTTATTTTGTTCTGAATAATTGCATCACTATGCTTTGATTGTCCCTAGTCTACCTTAGAGCCTTTATGATTTTTGCAATTTAGGTTAGCACTCTTTAGTTAAGATTGACTGGCAGCTAGACAACATGAAATTTTAGCTGTTGCTGGATACCTTGTTCTTGGTGCAAGCCAATTATGCTATTGTCTGATTTACCACCCATGTGCGGCTCTGTGCGGTTTCCTGTAGTTTCTTTTTTTATGAATATATATGCTAATGCTATGATATGTTGGTAGTGAATATTAACTAGTACTCCTGCTGTCTGAGTAGTTGTCTAAGTGTTGCTACATCCTGCTGCAATGTAAATCCCTCTACTTTCAAGTATTCATAGTTGGCAAATATTGATGAATAAAAGGCCTGCTTGATGCATGTCAATCATTTTAGAATTAGCATTTGAGAAAAGTTGAAACAGCGTTCTTCGTCAGATTTGCCGTGATATGTTAACAATCATGTATACCCCTTTGTGACTTTGTCGTCCAAGGAATCACAATATTGGCCTGAAAGTTGAAACTGGGACAACAAATTTGTACTCTAGTAATTGGCACTGTGATTGCTAGTTACATGTACGGTCTTGATTTAGAAAGTTAGATATCTGTATACTGTTTTATAGCTTGCCGTTCTCACATTCGAAATGCAATGTTCATATTGCAGAACAACCGTGTTCAGCCACTCCCAGACTGTTGTTGTGTGCCCAGGCTGCCAAACGGTGCTCTGCCAGCCCACAGGAGGGAAGGCCAGGCTCACCGAGGGCTGCTCCTTCCGCCGGAAGGGCGACTAGAGTGTGAGTCGTTCATTCAGAAGACGATGTTTTTGTGCCAAGCAAGTGTTCCACCTCCAAGGATGTAGTCTTCGAGTTTTGCTCTAGTTAGCACAGAAATATCTATTTTGCAAGTGTTATGTTATGTATCCCGAGCTACTTCTGAACATTGTCATCATGGAGGTCTAATTAGTTGGGTTTATTTGAGATTGTTCGATGAACTAAATTGGTGGTTGATAGTCTCAGGGGCAAACTGTTTGAATTATAAGCTGGTGTGGAAGATATTTATTGACATCTCGTTTTGTGTTTGACAGTAGAAAGCTTTACCCATTCGTCGGTTTTTACTTCTGAAATGCGTCAGCATGTTAACCATGTTATTGTCATGCTCTGTTACTGATTTCTTCGTAGCATTTCCGAAGCAATGAGGAAACTACTTTAATAGCATGAGCGTGGTTTTTAGACTATTCTGTATAATTTTCCCATGCCATAGTTTAGGTGATGAATGAACTACTCATGCTGTTCTGCTGTCTAAACTTGTGTATAATCGATGATTTTGATTTTCTAGATAATATATAGCCGTCTGTTAAAATTATATGGCATCACGCTGTTAATGTTTTAATTGTGTAATGTACTCATGGCTTTATACTTCAAAGGAAATTTTAAAATGGAACACGCTCTGACTAACGGAATTAACCTAACGTAAATAAAAGAATAAGTGTTATATGTTATTTGTCCCCTCTAGCACATGCTAAAATCGGTGGATAGAGAGAGGATTACGTTGTGACCATTAAAAATTTCAAAAATTTCTATAGATAACCTAATAGCTGTCACCACTATTGTCGAACACAAGACTTCTCTACTACTTGGCTACTCCTCCATCCTTTAAACATATTTGATCGTTCGCCATATTCAAAAAATTTAAGTAATTATTAATTCATTTCCTATCATTTAATTCATTGTTAAATTTAAGTAATTATTAATTCCTGTTCTGCAGGGTTTAATGAGTTTCTCACGGTGGGATGATCATAGAGAAAGGTGGCTGGCCTGTCAGCTAACCAAATCTTTGCTAGTAATTGTTAATTGTGCCTCACAACTCACATGTCCATGACATTGGTCTACACTGCACTCACAAGTACTCCCTTCGTTTTATATTAACTTTGATTTTTTTAAGTTAAACTTCTTTAAGTTTGACCAAGTTTATAGAAAAACATAGTAGTATTTTCAACATAAAACAAACATATTATCAAAATATATTGAACGTTAGATTTAATGAAACTAATTTAATATTTTATATGTTGCTAAAATTTTTCTATAAACTTGGTCAAACTTAACAAAGATTGACTAGGAAAAAAGTTAAACGGCTTATAATATGAAATAGAGGGAGTAACTTATTAATGGAATTCTTTTCTTTTTCATATTTTAAAAAAGGAAAAAGTATGAATTATCCCGAATTATCGCGGTCGACTGAATTATCCTCCCAAAATCGAAAACAAGCCATTGCACACCCTAAACTTGTAAAACCGGACGAATTATCCCATTGCTTCAAACCAGAACGGTTTTGATTCTATGTGGCATATGTGTGACGCTAACGTAGCAATCCAATAAAAAAATAAAAAAATCATGGGCCTCACATGTCAAACGGAGTACTACTAAAATCTCTCCTCTTTCTTTTTTCCCTCTAGTGATAGGGCCATACTCCTCTGCTGCCTGGTAGAGCAAAAGGGGTAGAGCCGCGGTGGAGTAGAGGCGGCGGAGGAGCAACTGGGTGGGGCGACGACGGGGATGGGTGGCAAACTCGTCGGTGTAGCCTGCCGCCTCTAATGCCTTCCTCAGCACCGCCCGTCGCCTGCTCGCCGAGGACTCATCGCTCGCCGCCTGCCTGAGCCGAGAAGGGGGGGGGGGGGGGGAGAGAGAGAGAGGAGGCCATGGATCCCTCAACTCCTCATTTGAACCGGAGAAGAGGCTCGGCACTTTTTCCCTCCCCCTACTTTGAGATCCAAGATGACGATGACAACGAGGGCTACCTCACCGCCGTCTCCAGGGAAGGGAGCATTAGCATCGCCGTCGCCTCTGCCTCCGCCTGGAAGGATGACCTCGACGACGCCCACCGCCCCCCTGAGTTGAGGACTTGTCACCTCGTCGTCATAGTCGTGGAGCTTGAGAGGGCTGCAGACTCGTCGCCGTAGCCCACTGCCTCCAACGCTCTCCTCGGCGCCCCTCGCCATGCCCTCTCCGCGTTCCGTCGCTGGCCCCCACGCGCCGACTGCCCGTCCGCCCCGTTGCTGCTGTGCGCACTTTGTGCCCGAGAGGGAGAGGGTAAGAGTGGAAGAGGAGGTATAACAGGTGGGTCCCACCATTTTTTAAAAAGAAAATGCTGACTTGATTACCACGCGTATACTATATAGGACAAAATTGCTTTGGATTGGGTCGAGTGGATTAATTTGTCAGGTATTAAAAGTTTTCGGGTTAAGAGAGGTAATTCGGTTGACCACGATGCGGTAATTTACACTTCTTCCTTTGAAAACAGCACTACAGCAGCCGTGGGTCCGTGCTAGGCAAGGCGGTTTGATAAAGTCGGTTATCCTCCGTGGAATAGGTCGGTTCGCTTTGATATTGCGTTGGACACGTGTGCTAGCCGAATTACATCGACAAAAAGGAGCCGTGGGAATTTTCTTCCCCCAAATCGTTCCCTCCTTCTCCCCGCCTCCAATCTCCCGCCGAACCCTAACCCCCTCGCCCCCTGTCGCTGCCGCGGCCATGGACGACGAGATCGCGCGCGCGCAGGAGCAGCGCCGCAATGTGGAGGACGATGCCTATCCTCCGTGCCCTTCGACGCCGACCTCTACGGCGGCGTCTCCGACCCCGACCGCTTCGCCAGCTACGAGACCTCCATCGCGGCCACCGCCGAGGACGACGACGACGACGACGACGCGACCGAGCCGGTCAACCCCGCCGCCCGCAGCCTCGCCTCCTACTCGGGCCACGCCATCGCCTCCTCCTCCTCGGGCCTCCCCCGCGCGGCGGATGAGGAGGGTGACGGGCTCCGCGCCCGCGAGGGCGAGTACCACCGCCGGCACCCGGTCCGCGGCATGTCGCCGGATCGCCACGACCCTTTTTCTGCCGCGGAGACCACTCCGGACCCATCCACGCGGACCTATGCCGACGCCATGCGCGACAACCAGCCCGCGCCCGCGACGAAGCGGCGGAACAGATGGGACCAATCGCAGGAGGACGAGGGGGATGGCGCCGCCGCTACTGGGGCCAAGAAGGCGAAGACTGCCTCCTCCTCCTCCTCCTCACATTGGGACGCCGCCCCTGATGCTGCAACTCCCGGGATCGGGCGCTGGGACGCCACGCCTGGGCGCGCCGGAGGTGCGACGCCCTCCCTGAAGAGGAATCGTTGGGATGAGACCCCGACTCCAGGGAGGATGGCTGATGCGGATGGAACCCCTGCACCGTCCGTGGCGTGGGATTCTTCTTCCACCCCAACGCCCAAGAAGCAGAGATCAAGGTGGGATGAGACGCCTGCGGGTGTGGGGAGCACGGCACCTCGCGCTACCGATGCTGTTACTCCTGCAGGTTATGCTCCTGGGCCAACCCCGTTCGACGCGGCGGACCTCGCCACGCCGTCACCTGGCCAGATTGCTCGTGGCCCGATGACACCGGAGCAGTACCAGCTCTTGCGGTGGGAGCGGGACATCGAGGGGCGTAACATGCCTCTGACTGATGAGGAACTTGACACCATGCTCCCGCAGGTGGGGTACAAGATTCTTGATCCTCCGGCTTCTTATCAGCCCATACGCACACCCGCAAGGAAGCTTCTCGCGACGCCGACACCGCTGTTTACACCGCTCTATGCCATCCCTGAGGAGAACCGTGGGCAGCAGTTTGATGTGCCCAAGGAGTTGCCTGGTGGGTTGCCACAAATGAAGCCGGAGGATTACCAGTACTTTGGAACATTGCTGAACGAGGGAGAGGAAGAGGAGAAGCTGTCACCAGAGGAGCATAAGGAGAGGAAGATCTTGAAACTCCTGTTCAAGGTGAAGAATGGCACACCACAACAGCGGAAAGCGGCGCTTCGACAGCTCACGGACAAGGCGCAGGAATTTGGTGCTGGCCCGCTGTTCAACAAGATCCTGCCGTTGCTCATGCAGCCAACGCTTGAGGACCAGGAGCGTCATCTTCTGGTGAAGGTCATTGATAGAGTGATATACAAGCTGGATGATCTGGTTCGTCCGTTTGTGCATAAGATTCTTGTGGTTGTTGAGCCACTTCTGATTGATGAGGATTACTATGCTCGTGTTGAGGCCCGGCAGATTATCTCAAATCTTAGCAAAGCAGCTGGACTTGCTACTATGATTGCCACCATGAGACCAGATATTGATAACACTGATGAGTATGTGAGGAATACCACTGCTAGGGCATTCAGTGTGGTTGCTTCTGGTTTGGGGATTCCTGCTCTCTTGCCATTCTTGAAGGCTGTCTGCCAGAGTAAAAAGTCTTGGCAGGCTCGGCACACTGGTATTAAGATTGTTCAGCAGATTGCTATTCTCATGGGCTGTGCTGTTCTGCCACACCTCAGGTCCTTAGTTGATATCATTGAGCATGGTCTGAGTGATGAAAACCAGAAAGTACGGACAATCACCGCACTGTCTCTTGCTGCACTTGCTGAGGCTGCCGCACCCTATGGTATAGAAAGTTTTGATACGGTGTTGAGGCCTTTGTGGAAGGGTACCAAATCTCACCGTGGAAAGGTCCTTGCTGCTTTCTTGAAAGCCGTTGGTTTCATCATCCCTCTTATGGATGTTGAATATGCCAGTTACTACACCAGGGGGGTGATTCCAATCCTGATTAGGGAGTTCCAGTCACCAGATGAAGAGATGAAAAAGATTGTCCTGAAGGTTGTTAAACAATGTGTCAGTACAGAGGGTGTAGAGGCTGACTATATCCGTAATGGCATCCTTCCAGAGTTCTTCCGTCACTTTTGGATAAGGAGAATGGCTCTAGATCGTAGGAACTATAAACAACTTGTGGAAACAACAGTGGAGATTGCAAACAAGGTTGGAGTTGCTGACATCGTTGGGAGGATTGTTGAGGATCTCAAAGATGAAAGTGAACCTTACAGGAGAATGGTGATGGAAACAATTGAGAAGGTGGTGGCTCACCTGGGTGCCTCAGATATTGATCGCCATCAGGAGGAGCTTCTTATTGATGGCATCGTGTATACTTTCCAACAGCAGACAAGTGATGATTCAAATGTCATACTTAATGGGTTTGAAACAGTTGCGAATGCACTTGGCCAGAGGGTTAAGCCTTATGTTCCTCAGATTTGTGGTATCATCAAGTGGATGCTGAACACCTCGAGTGCAAAAGCTAGGCAGCGAGCTGCTGATCTGATGTCAAGGATAGCCATTGTGATGAAGCTGTGCCAAGAGGAGCGGCTGATGTGTCACTTGGGTCATATATTATATGAGTCCTTGGGGGAGGAGTATCCTGATGTGCTGGGTTCAATCCTTGGAGCTTTAAAGGCTATCGTGAATGTTGTTGGTATGACAAAGATGACGCCACCAATCAAAGATCTTCTTCCTCGGTTGACCCCAATCTTAAAGAATAGGCATGAAAAGGTCCAAGAGAACTGTATTGATTTAGTTGGTAGGGTTGCTGATCGTGGAGCAGAGTTTGTGCCAGCCAGGGAATGGATGAGGATTTGCTTCGAGCTGCTTGAAATGTTGAAGGCTCACAAGAAGGGTATTAGACGAGCCACTGCGAACACATTTGGCTATATTGCGAAGGCTATTGGGCCAGAGGATGTGTTGGCCACTCTATTGAACAACTTGAAGGTGCAGGAGCGTCAGAACCGAGTTTGCACTACTGTCGCAATCGCCATTGTTGCTGAAACTTGCTCCCCCTTTACAGTTTTGCCTGCCCTTATGAACGAGTACCGAGTACCAGAGTTCAATGTCCGTAATGGTATTTTGAAGTCTCTGTCATTTCTTTTTGAATACATTGGTGAGATGGGTAAAGATTACATATATGCTGTCACGCCATTGCTTGAAGATGCTCTGATGGATAGAGATCTGGTTCATCGGCAGACTGCTGCCTCTGCTGTTAAGCACATGGCACTAGGTGTTGCTGGCTTGGGTTGTGAGGATGCTCTTGTCCACTTAACCTTGTCTGGCCCAACATATTTGAGACATCTCCCCATGTCATAAATGCTGTCATGGAGGCGATTGATGGCATGAGGGTTGCCCTAGGCTCAGCTGTGATTTTGAATTATTGCCTCCAAGGCCTTTTTCATCCAGCAAGGAAAGTGCGTGAAGTATACTGGAAGACCTACAACTCTCTATATATTGGCGCACAAGATGCACTTGTTGCTGCTTATCCTGCGTTGGACATTGATGGGAACAATATCTACAGCCGCCCAGAGTTAGCTATGTTTGTGTGATCAATGTGAGTATTGCTTATTTTACCCATCAACTTACTTTATGCGTTAATCATCGGAAAATATGCTGCTAGGTTATGAAATAAGTTAATATTCATGTATCTTATAGTTCATATTTACTTGTTTGCGCTCTTTCACTGATATGCAACTGTTGATCTATGTCCTTCGTTGTGCTATTAGAATGAAATGGCTTTGTGTTTCCCTTGATTTAGTGTTCTCCAACAATGCCTGCGTCATCTTTCTGGCTAATGGCTATGCTGTTTGGCCATAAGGAAGTTATTGACATGATGAATTGATGCGTTAGTTTTTTTCTCTCCACAAAAGAAAGGATCTGATGTGCTGGCATTGGCAGGAAGCATGTATGTGCATATCATCAGTTATCACACATGTCGCTTGAACTGGGATGGTATCTTCATTAGAGCTTACATTTAAAATTATGTTATTTGGTGTTCTTGTAACGTATGTCTTTATTGAAGTCATTTTTTTGTTTGCAGGCTTGTTCCTTTTTGAAGGGGGTGCAATCTTTAAGAAATATCTATAAACTTCCTCTTTGATCTGATTGACTAATCTTTTTGGAATGTTTGTTTTTCAGGGTAATTTGATCCAAGTTCGATGCAGAGTTCTGGATTTAAGAACGACCACAAGGACATTTTCGCCACTGAGAATGGATTAGCTTATTCATAATCCTAGTATCACTGTTTTTCCTTTGGCCATAATTAGTAGTAATGAAGGTATTACTAGTAGTTATGAAGGTTGTGTTCATCTCATAGCTTCCTTTTGTCTCCAGTATATTGTTACTAGTATCTGTTATGATGCCTGGAACATGAGCATGTCTTCAACGTTTTTTTAGATCGTGTTCTGATTTCTGGAGATCTGGCCATAAAGCCATCGAATGTTTGAGTACTTGTGTTTGACATGTGGTGTCTAATTAGCTGTGTTCATTTTAAAAACCTTTGTTGAACTGAAATGGTGATTATTTGTTTCAGGGTTGGCCACAGCTTGTCTGTCTCTGGTTCGGAAGATATTGACTTGCATCGTTCGTATTTCGCGTCTAGCCTATGCTGTACTGATTCACCTTTTTTTTTTATATATTTCAGTAATGCAGAAGGTTCTGAGATGAACTGGACTTGGATTTATCTGTTTGGTCAGTGCTCACACACTTCAAATGTTTTACTTCACCACAAGCCAAATGAATAAATAAACAGATATCATACCATCGATATAATTTACAAGTTTGAACTCTGCTCCGTAGCATTTTTGCACGCCTAACAGATGCTTTTCTTTTTCAGTCAGACGATTTTCTTAGAAATTTCCCATCTCTATTTTTATTTTTTGCTTTCTAAAAGCAAAATTTAATAACATATAAAAGTCTAAAATATTGAAATTGCCCATGACAATGCTTAAATTATTTTCGCAATTAACATATTTAAACAATATCAAATGCTCTTTGTAACAGAAAAGAGTCAATGTATGTCTGATGAACAATCCCATTGTTAACTTGCTCTGATTGACATAAGAACATGATCCATTCATTCTTTACTGGTCCGCAGCAAAGCACACGGGGGAATTCATTTACTTCTTCAAAAGAGATCATCCGAGCGCCAAAAGTGGCAACTCGATCAATCGATCCGTGTGTACGCGCGTCAGGCGCCCGCCGCGACGGGGAAGCCGATGCCGCGGCGCGTCGACGGGAACATGGCGAAGAGGAAGCTCCCCGCCGCGCCGGCCGCCATGGGCACCGCCGCGAGCAGTTGCCTCGTCGCCGGCGACTCCACCGGGTAGAAGCACGCCACCACGTTGCGGTCCACCATGGCCACGGCCAGGAACACCGCGAACGACAGCGCGCCGTGAAGCACGTCGCGCGCGCCCAGCCTGTACCTGTCGTCCCTCGGCGGCGGCGGCGGCGGCGAGCCGGAGCCGGAGCCGGAGTCGATGAGGCGGAGGCTGCCGCTGGGCGTGACGAAGCCGTAGCGCACGGAGCCCGTGGCGTCGCGGTAGCTGTCGGTGAAGCAGAGCAGGAAGCAGCAGAGCGCGCAGGCGCCGACGAGGCAGGCGGTGAGCGCGCGGTTGGCGGCCGTGCAGCTGCCGTCCGCGGTGAAGGACGGCGAGAGCACCTCGAACGCGAGCACGGCGCCGGTCGGGAGGTGCTTCGCGAGGTCGGCCGTGCTGTTCAGCGCCTTGCAGACGAGGCTCGCCTGCGTCGCCTGCGTCGTCTGGCCGTCGTCCGAAGACGCGAGCAGCGGCGCCTTCGCCTCCGGGGTCTCCTCGTCGGCGCCGGTTGGACGCGACGCCATGATGAACAAGAACAATGCCTAGCTAGCTACCGTGCCTTAGCTGTTGGATTAGCTTGCTTCTAAGTTCTAACTCGATCGGCATTGCATTGACACGACGTATTTGAACAAAAAACCATGGACGCATGCAAAGCATCTGGATTCTGGAGAATACTTCAACACTAGCTTGCTCATGCTAAATATGTTTGAACACGCAAAGAACATTTGTGATTTTGCAACAAAGCAAAGTATTTGTGATTTTGCAATAACGCAAAGTATCCTAATTCTTACTCCTACCAGAGAAATGAACAATGCATGCAGAAAAGCCAAGCCCATGGAAAGGGGGAAATCAATTATGCTTTGTAATTGGCGTAAGTTCACTTCAGGTCCCTCAATTTGTCACTGAGTCTAAAACTCATCCCTGACCGCACTACCAGATATAACGTGTCCCTCAACTTGCAATACGGTGTACCGATGCCCCAGGGCAGTATATTGTTCGGTTTTGGCTGACGTGGCAAGTGGAACCCATGTAGGCCCCACATATGAGCCGCCAACTCTTCCTCCTCTCTCTCTCCCTCTCCCCTGTCTTTCGCATCTTTCATATTCTCAAGCGTTCGAGCGGCGGCCAACGGGAGGGCAGTGAGCAGTGGTTGATGGGAGTATAGCGAGTGGCAAGGAGAAGCAGCAACCAACGGGAGAGCGAAGACGGGGGGGGGGGGGGGGCGAAGAAGGGTGACCGCTGACATGGAGAGGGGCAGCAACCAACAGTGGGAGCGAACAGCGTGCGACGGGGAGAAGTACTATCGCCTGGAGAGAGGTGAAATCACCAATTGTGGATGGCATCACGGACGAGCCACGAGACCTAGTTCACCGTCACCCTTTCCCACTGGCCGCTCGGGGAGCCATGAGACCTAGGCTCGAGGAGTCATGAGACCCGGCTCACATCGCCTGCCGCCACCTAACTCCTCTCCCGTTGGCCATCGGCCTTCTCTCTATCGGCTACCACGCAGGAGAGATGGGGAACCTAAGTGGCAGCCTGGCAGAAAGCTCAGGAGGTGGTCCACCGTGGAAGCCCGCCACTCGTCACCTTCCAATCCACCACCAGCCGTCCTTCCCACCTGTCGCCGCCTAGCTCCTCTCCCGCCGGCCTTCTCCCCATCGCTCGTCACGATGGAAAGATGGGGAATCGGAGGTGCGACGGGAGTCCGAGGCCCGGTGGTCCACTGCGGAAGCTCGCAGCCCACCACCTTTTTGTTCGGCGGTTGGTCTAGCTCGGTGATGCGTTGCTGCCGCTTCCCTTCTCCCCGTCGTCCACCGCCCACCTGGGGAGAGTTGGTAATGCGAGGTCAAGATGGGGTAGGAGAAGGTGGAAGGAGCAAGTTGGTCGCTGAAAATTTTTGAAAATTCCTCTGTCACACATGATTTTGTGTGCCAATTATATCTTATTTCTGTCGTACAAAATTTATCTTTGTATGAATAAGGTCTTGACTAGGGAGGGGGATTTTTTCTAGAATACTTTTAACTCCTTGACTAATTTTTAAAATTTAAAAACTTTTTCATCCTTTGGTAACATCTTCAACTAATGAAAACCAATGTAAATCTAGGACAAGATTGAAATCCACATGGTTTCAATAATGCGCGCTTGATTTTAAACTTAAGGGCTGCTTTTCAGACAATCATGAAAGTTAAGACTACAAAATATACTTTTTCCTCAAATAAGCAATTGAGTTTTCATTCTGTTGGCCAAGTTGGTCTCTGATATTGGTCTTTGATTGAAAGCAGCAGTATCTTATGTACACCAGTAATACCGTAAAGTTTATCCCCTTTAGCTATTTACCATACCATTCATAATGATACTTCAATAGAATTTTAGTGAGGTTACAGATTTGCTCTTAGCCTCAACTTTTTTGGTGTGTGTTAAGAGTCGTATGTTTGATCATTTATCTTATTAAAAGTTAAGAAATTATCATTTGTTTTATTATAATTTATTTTATTATTAATGTTTTAAATAAAATGAATAGTTAGAAATCAATTGCGTTAAAAACTAAAGACAAGAGAAAGTAATAAAGATATTGTACATTATCTGCAACCCCGTCGTAAGAGATGAGAACTGCTTGAACACATGGCCTACAAAATCTCACATTATACTACGCATGACAATGATGTAGATGGTGTCAAATCCCCAACAAAACACGGCCTACTATGGTGTCAAATCCCCAATAATCCACGGTCTACTCCATAGTACTCCCTCCATCTCATTTTAAGTACAGTTGTGGTTTTTCATCTCCAACGTTTGACCGTCCGTCTTATTTGAAAAATTTAGGTGATTAGTATTTTTATCGCTGTTAGATGATAAAGCATAAATAGTACTTTATATGTAACTTATTTATTTTAATTTTTTAAATAAAATTTTTAAAGAAGACAGATGGCAAATGTTGAACACGGAAAACCACAAGTGAACTTAAAATGGAACAGTAGATGAGAAGCGGGAGAGATCTAAACTGAGATCGAACCGATATGACATGCAATGATCAGGTCCCCTTGAGCAGAAGAGAGCAGATAAGTTGGTGGATAACCCCAGGGCCACTTATGTCTCCCAAATGCCCTCACATCACCTCCATCGTTCTAGCTCTAGATATGGCCACTCCATGGATTCACAGCTCTTGGCAGCAAACACACAAGAGGGCCCAGCATGTCCCCTATCCCAAATGCATTGCCTTTCTTACCAGCTGGATATGGCATGCACAGAAAGACAATCTATCTTTCTGTGCATGCTTAGAGGTCCAAATTTTGGATCAAATATTTTGGGTCCCATGGCGCCTGGCAGAAGAAAGAAATACAAAAATTTTAGATGCTAATGAACTGGTGCGTAATTAATCGAAAACCATCCTTAGACTAAATTGAATAGATCAATTTGTTGACGATGCATACGTTTGGTTGGGGGAGTTTATACGAGGGATGGAAGAGGGGCAAGGTTATTAATTCCGTTGTTTTATTAGTATGGGAAATTTAAATTGGCATATTTTAATCCAGAAAAATTAAGATAGTACAGATGACATGTATATAGTTGAATGATCTAGTGTTGATGTTAAACATGAGCATGCTTTTAACAATATAAGCATAAACATCAACAATATTCACATAGGATGGTGATCCTAAGGATAGCATGGTGATAAACATAAAGATACTTGGAACTAAAACATCTAGCAACATGTTTAAAACGAAGATGAAAGTATTGAAGTACCCAGAGAAAGGTCCAGTATTATATGAGGCATTATTGGTATGGTTGCCTCCGTCGGTGTTGCCGTTCTTGCCTTCTCCAGTGCCGATGCAGGTGTTGATATTGGTGTTGATAGTTGACATAACATTGGAGAGGAAGGAGAATCTGATGAAGAGGATGCAACGTAGTCAAAGCAGAACAGGAGCAGTCGTGCCGAGACACTCACCAAAACCTTGATCGCCGGCCTATCCATGCAAGTACGCAAGCAGACGGAGTTTCGGAGGCCTGCTCATTTCGAGCACCCGTGCCCGCCTATCTGTGCAGGTACATAAGCAAATGAAGTTTCGGAGGTCTGCTCATTCTGAGCACCCGTGCACGCAGGTGATCAAAACCAGGGACTGTAGAAGCTAGCAAAACCTTGATCGCCCACCTATCTGTGCAGATACGCAAGCAGACGGAGTTATGGAGGCTTGCTCATTTCGAGCACCCGTGCACATGGGTGATCAAGCGTAGGACCAGGAACAGAGAACCACTAAGGTAATGGCCTAGCGCAAGAACAGAGAACCACTAAGGTAATGGGCCTGCTCATTCCGAGCACCTAGGTGCGCAGGTGATCAAGCACATGAACAGGAACAGAGAACCACTAAGGTAATGGCCTAGCGCAAGAACAGAGAACCACTAGGGTAATGGCCCGTCCGTTGCAAAATAATGAGAGACTACGCAAGCAGACGGACTCATTCTGAGCACCCGTGCGCGCAGGTGATCAAGCGCAGGAACAGGAACAGAGAACCACTAAGATAATTGCCCGCCCGTTGCAAAATAATGAGAGACTACGCAAGCAAACGGACTCATTCTGAGCACCCATGCGCGCAGGTCATCAAGTGCAGAAACAGGAACAGAGAACTACTAAGGTAATGGCCCGTCTGAGAACAGAGAACCACTAAGGTAATAGCTCGTCCGCTGCAGCAGGTGATCAAGCACAATCGAGAGCAAAAAAACATAATTAATCTGTCGCCCGCCTTGGCCTGGCTCGACGCGCGCGTGTGGCAATCGCGCCACTATCTCAACCGGTCAATAAGTACTCTCTAATAGCTCATTATTTAAGTTCATATCTCTCCACTTAAATTTTTAAGGTGGTATTAATTTCCATAGTATTAATTATAGGTTAATGGAATTTATTGAGAATAAATTAGGCCAAGCCTATTTAATCCAAGAATTAGAGCATTTAGGACTTTTGGTGTGACGGGGAATTCAATTCAGGAGAGAACTTCCTGCTTTTTAACATGTGTCGGGTTAGGAATTGGGATGGAATTCACCTTTACGATGTCTAGACAACTCTGAATAGTCGTCACTTCAAGTCTTAGCCCCTATCGATTCCCATAATTACTCCTATAAAAGGAGGGACTGAAACTAAAAATTAAAATTTTGGGTTAATCTCACCACCAATTTACTCCTCTAAACTTCAAATCCTTTTTCCAAAGTTGCGAATCAATAGTATTTCTCTAGGAGAGTACAATACTGAATGAACAACACGAATCACTCCACAGCACACGCATGACACATGTCCCATACACATGCTGAGGGAGAGATCCGAGGGTCCAGTCCTCTCTAGCACGGAGACACACAAATCCATAGAGAGCCAAACTACATATTTGCAAAAAAAAAATAATTTGTAAATAAATTTTTATATATATGTTATCAGCGATAAAGTGAAAGCTGAAAATAAACTATGATAAAAAACCGCCTAAAATCAGCTCCAAATTTAAGGTGAAAAAACTTTAAATTTAGCTTATAAACATAAATATGGGCGAAAAGATGAGCCGGAAAAAAAAATCCCCACCGAGGCAATCCACCCTACCTGTTCGCTCCACCGAGTACCGCTCTTAGGGCATGTACAAAGATAAAGTCAGATATGAGTTCTACGTTATCTAGAGACTAGCATCCTACAACAGTTAGAGATAATATGGTCTCTAATCATTAATGTATCAAAATACTTTTTCTTACTTTTCTTTCCTTTCTTTCGCCACCATGCAACAAAATTTGCTCTAATAAATGCTAAGAGTCGACTTTGAGCTGTTGTCATGCATAACAACCATACTCCTTTCTCTTTCTTTCATGTCATCAAATTTACTTGCATGGCAATAGAAAGAGACCACTAATAAACACCGTTGTAATAGCCAACTTATCATGATGTCTCTCAAGAAATCTAGGCGTAATATGAGTTCTTTGATGGCTCTTTTATCACAGAAACCAAAAGAACAAAAAATCTTTAACAAATACTCGTTCCGAAACCAAAAGAACAAAAGATCTTTAACAAATACTCGTTCCGTTTTTAAATAACTGATATTATTGACTATCACTATTTTGATTTGGGCTATTAATTACGATGAACAAAAGTATTTATATTTAAGATGTAATATAGTTATATTTAACATGTAATATGATACAATGGTACTCCTTTTAGTATTTATATATTTTTTAAAAAAAAGATGAGTGGGTCAAAGTTTCAAAATAAATTTCAGTCAAAAAATAGTGCTTAGTGTTAGTTATTTTTTTAAAAAAGGAGTAAGTACTAAAAATTTTTGCATTTATGTTACTCGTGTAAGATATGTGTGTCGGGGTCTCTCCCTTAATAAAAACAAGAATGACATGTGACAGTAGTTTTTCTTTTCCTTAAATTAAAGGAAGGCACCTTGGCGTCGAAAATGACTCAATTTGGATGGTGATTGGTGAAGCTATATACATCAAAACCTCCTTTCAAAGCCGTCATGATTTGCAAGTGATCATTTTCCGCCAATAATACTGACAAGATACTGGTTTCATACTACCATTGATGGCCAGCCTACTGAATTCGATCAAAATCTCCTGTCGTTGGTGTGACCTGGCTGAAAATTCACGCATTATTCATTGTATTGATCCTACTTTCCAACAGCATACAAATCATCCTGTTTTTTGTTCGCCAACATTCTTTGCGAGATAAGGTTGCATATGCTTCAGTGGGTCTTAAAAAGAAAAATTTTCAGAGTATATATTTTTTAAAAGGGGGCAAAAGCTTCGCCACTTTTTTATATTGATAGAGCATGAATAAAATCTTAGAGTATTTACAGGGCACGAGACCAATGGGCCCGTAAAATAAGATAGCAAGACACTACTCTCATGCAGTGATTAACTCTGTGATTTTTAACGCCCCAGCTGTGATCTTGGCGATGATGGTGGCAGGAGTGGAGGCAACATGCCTGAAGATTTTGACATTTCGTTCACACCATAATTCCCAGGCGATCAGGATGATCATCGACTTGAGGGCTTTCCTTGAGCAGTTCGTCGTGCGCGAGATTTTGTACCACCATTCTTCAACTGTCGCACATCTGTCCCACCCTTGCAACCAGAGATCGGCTCCTTTCGATCGTTATATTTCAGCCCAGATTCTTCTAGACAGCCTACAATTTGCTAGCAGGTGTAAAGCTATCTCTGTCACTACGCGGCAAAGGGGGCAAAAGATGTTGATTGGCTCACCCTCTCTTTTGTAGCCGATCTGTCATGTTTTAGATGGTGAGCTAGGAGAAGAACTTGCATTTTGGAGGAGCTCAACACTTCCAAATGGTCTGGTTGTAAATCGTTCTTGAAAGAGTATGATGTAGAAAGAGTAGGCTCCTAGAAACCATAGCCTGTACGCCGAACTGAAAGAGTAGGCAGCATTGGCCGTCAGCTTCTAGACGATGGAGTTCTTCTGGTCGGTTAAAGGGCCAACACGTTGAATCGTGGTCCATAGACAAATGTACCGGTGCGGTGGTCCGCCTCTGTGTACTTGGAAGGTCGATATACCGGATCCAGACTTAAGGGCAAGGGCCTCATGCACCGTCCTGGTTTTGTGTTTGGAGGCCGCTTTTCAGAGTACGTAGAGGCAAAAGATATGTATTAGTTATGTACCTTGATTTTTAAGACAATCGATATAAATTCGGCCTCAATATCCAAACGTGGATATACACAACCAAATATTACAAAATATATATATATAAAAAGACAAGACTAAGCTTCAAATCTTCGTTCATGCTTCAAACTTTCTTATGTAAGGACAATCCAGCAGACCTCATTTGAAACTTTGATGTCAGCATCGTATGTCATAATCGGCCTTCTGCTTCCTAAGGAGTGTTGCCGCACAAAAACTGCATTAAGACAATCTTCAGAAGCAGTTCGAACTCTTGCAAGCCCTTGCCGACATCGACCTATCTATACCTTCTATATATATACCTTCTATATATATAGTTGGTACCCGTTACAGCTAAAACTCAACATACAACCATGACACATTATCTATAATAGCATATCAAATCATGTCAATCATCCTCATATTATTTCAAGTTTTTAACATATATATTCATCATTTCTATAATATATGAGCCCCATCTGTTGGCCTAATAAGTCAAGGCAAAAGCCAAAATTTAAATTTTCAAACTTAATTTTAGAGTTGATTTTAAGAATTTTCAACGCAATTTCTTTTTAGCGATGGCTTTTAAGTCGCTACGAATCCTATCTTACTATAAAGTTATAACCCACTAACTCCTAAAGCTTAACATGCAAAGATGCCACATCATCATCCACTAACAATCAATACATTTAATATCATGCAAACATGCTATGTTATCTATAATTTAAAATTTATTTTATTTTAGAGCTTTTTAAATGAAAGTATGTTAAATCATCAGCCCACAATTCACATAATATTTCAATATATATCTTCTTTTTTTATAATATTTTATGTACCTATATAAGTTCATCCTCACTTGGTTAATGTTATTTCTCTCTTCTTTAATTAAGCCATATCACATCAATCACTTGGTTAATGTTATTTCTCTCTTCTTTAATTAAGCCATATCACATCAATTGATTTTAATGCTTATGTAAGTTTATATTGTTTAGCTATTTTACACATTATTTTTAGTTATTGTTATCATACTGAAATCGCATAGCAACGTGCGAGGTTTCACCTAGTAAATATATAAAAGTTTTACCTGTAAATTAATTTCTATTCCCTAATAAGCCGTTTTGGCTTATTAGAGAAGATGGGCAACCGATGAGGCTCTATAGCATGCAATCATTCATGTATTCTGCAGCTAAAACACAATAAATAAATGACAACGCCTATGGGTGAAAATGGTCCCGGAAATTTCCGATCGACTGAGCGCTATTTTCGTATAAGGCGTACTGTTTCCGACCGGACTGTTTTTGGCTATTTTTAAATTTTGTTTTTTTTTAAATTTTTTTCTGCATCGTATTAATATCGATACTAAATAGTTTAAATAATAAATATGGTTAAATACCGGCCAATCGAGTGTCTTTTTCGAAGACATGCTACCGATTCGGACCCTTTTTACCCCCAAGTCGACGCCTACAAGAACACGACCCGGCACACTGCTACCGCCCGTGTAGAAACACAACGATGCCGCCTCCATGAAGGATAATGACACCCAAAAGTGTCGCCGTCGCCTCCACCAATAAAGCTAGGCAGGGTTATCACGGTCACACAACTGCCACAAACCTCCGACCACTGCACCGAGTCAACAAACAAAATCTCGACCATTTGTTATAAAACTAACAAAATATTGATCACGGAAGCCAAACACCAAAGAATACCATGGAAGATCCAAGATCCAAACAGACGATGGATCTAAGACACGATATTTGTTAACGAGATTCAGTCAGGGCACTGATGTATCCGGAGTTAGGGTTTGGTGTAAACTATTGTACACTATCCGGGTACAGAGTTTTGCACTTTATACCCGATGACTGGCAGAATTATCATGAAATTTACACCAAAAGAATGGGCGAAATCTAATTATACTGAGCCACGATAGTGTAACAGAAGGTCCATTGGAGGCAGAAAAACTGTCATCAGGTTACAGCAGTATTGTCAACAAGTTTGCCATGTTGTACCAGAACTACCAGAAAGAACCAAAAAAGATTGTACAATAGACAATTGCTTTGGACTATTGGTCTATACCAGTAAGCTTCACACAGAACCACAAACATGCATCATTACTGAAGTTAAGGAACAGCTTGCTCCCTTTTTTCCAAGAATCAACAGCCTGCTCTAAGAAATATGATGAATCTAACCATATCCCACCAGAGCAGTCCATACCCTCCAAATCTCAAAATTTGAAGGGAACACTCCAAAGTTATTAGACTCCCCAAATCTCAAAATTTGAACATAGTACTACAGAGATGAATGGCCCATCAAACTATGCACATCATTTATGTGCGCAACCTAGAGCAGCAAAGCAACAGAGTTCCTGCATGGATAAGGACATACAATTGAGCAGGTACAAAGAGGACGGTATGTCATCTACTCCATCAAAGTCCTTACCTTTTTCTGTTCATAATCCCAGGACCTGCAAAGAGTCAGAGAAGCTGACACAATTCAAGACATGAGAATAGTCCCTCACACTGCCTAGCCATCCATCCAGCCCACTGGTCCCCCAGCTCAGCTCCAAGTAAATTTCACTGAGCTGATCAGAATCCTGATCAACACAAAACAGATAGGATGTGCAGGCAGGAAAAGATTTTCTAGAAAATCTTTACCAACAGTTGCCGACAAAAATGCAAGCTTCCTGAATTTCATCCTGAGTGTGCCAGGTCCACTTGTCAGAGAGCAGCAAGTAAAGATTTGCATGATGTTTTTTTTTCTCTTCTTTCAATTGTACTGCTACTACCAACAGAAGGACTTGAATGCTATTCACCAATTGAAGCCTCATCAAGCTGTTCAAGAGCTCAGCAATGACAAAGTGGAGGCAAGTGAGACCACACTTTTGACTTGGTCCTGTGCTCCTGGCAGAAAGCAGTGTGGCAGCAAATGCAAGTAAATGCACACCAGTGCTGCAGCATATGCATGCAACTGGGTACTGGAGCTAGATAAGCAGAAGCTGGATACCATTTCATTAGCTATGTAGCTGGACCAACACTTGACTCTCTAGGCATCTAATTAAAGAGGACAGCTAATCAAACACAACTAGATAAACTTGATTCTTTACCACCAAAAGAGATCAATGCCTACTCCCTGTATCGGCACATAATTAGCGAGGATCACTAAACGCAAGAACCAGCCAAGCTACCATCCAAGCTGCTCTATAAGTCTTAGACTCCATTGTTGTCGTTGTTGCTGCTGGTGTTGTTGTCATGCTCCTCGTTAGAGGTGAGATGGTTGGTGCCGTTGCTGTTACCACTAACATCGCATCTGGAGCTGTAGTAGGTATGCTTCTTGGATGAGCCCTTGCACTGGCTTGCTGGGTACTTGCGTGCATTGATCTCCAGCTTGCGTAGAGCAGCGCTGCCAAGATCGACTCCGCACATGTCCGACAGCCTGACGAGGTAGAGGAGCACATCGGCCAGCTCCTCCCCCAAGTGCACCTTCTCCGCCTCGTCCCAGCCGGGGAGCCCCTTGGGCACCTCCCCTTTCCACTGGAATATCTCAGAGAGCTCTCCTACCTCCCCTACCTGCACAGCGCACAAGAACCAGCCACAGATTATACACAAATTACAGAAGATAACTGGATGAGAAAAAGATTGTTGTGCTGGCTGCCAACTTGGCTAGGGTCATGGATTGAGCTAGATGCCGAGCTTATAGTTCCCACAATTGTTCTCTTATGGGCATCTCCTAGGTGTGGGCTGTGGGCAACACTTGGAAAAAAAAGGGATTCTGCTCTAGTAGGCCTTTTGAGATGGCCCCCACCACAATGCAGAAGAGCACATTGTGGACAGGGTGAGGTGACGTGAGTGGGATCCTGCTTAAGTCCAACTCATGCAAACTATTGATATGGATAACCTAACAGTGCAAAGGCCAAAATAGGATACATTGCATTGCAACATGTGTATTTGGCAGTGTTCAATGTGGTCAGGATTAAAGAATTTTTGTTTTTCTTCCACTGTTGTACTACTGCACATATACCTTTGTCAGGAAATGGTTGGTGAGTGGATTATGTTGGTTTGAACGTAGGGGTAAGCATAAGTTGTTCTATGATATTATTTTTATTCCAATTTTACTTAGAACAAAACAAAAGCCCTTGAGTCCTTGACTAGATAGAACATTTAGATAAGAAAATTGCATTCAGAAAATTCTAGATACCACAAACAGCGAGGTAGACAAAAGGTTAATTAAACCCAAACACTGCATATAGTCCCCAAACAGCGAGGCAGACAAAAGGACACAATGCCAATGTTTACTGTCAAGTTAACATCACTTAGACTGTCATGAGACATCTCACAGACAAGGGGATCATAAAGCTCCTTTCTGTTCAGTAAAGCAGAAAAGAGTTTGTTCAAATTAGCCTCTCGAAATCAACATCTAAACTTTAGTGTTATATGATGCCCTCGACATACCTATTTCTAGTTGGCCTTTACCCTGACACAATCGTAGTAAGAATACATTACTCTGATAAACCTTGAGATCTAAAACTAATAACTGTACAATGCCCTTTTCAACACAATATGATGTAGGCAAATGCCATATCCAATTAGAATAGGTGGTTTACATCAAATCATTCAGTAAAGATCACAGCCATATAAGCTTCAAACAATGATATTTTAGAGCAAACATGATTACGCAAGCATAACAGTAAATATGTAGGCAAAGTCCCTTGCCTTAGGCACATTGGTTCAGAGCCAGGCCGATTACGCCAATAGCACTCGCTCATCCATAAACCGGCTGACACAGTATTACAGCGGTACATTTGTAGCATATAAAACGAAGTAATTAATGTAATAATCCGGTACTCCACTATGAACAGATCAAAACTATTACTCGCAACAGAGCGTAATCTACCTTTTACCCGCATATAAACATCCATCCGATCATCAGTTCATCAATTCATCACCCACTGTGTGAGATGACAGTTTTATTATATAAACATATCGCACGATTAAAGACTTCTTGGAACACTGCCTTTTTGTATACAGCCAGTCAGCCACTCTCTATACCTATCTATTTATCCCCATTTCACCCTCGTGCATGTCAAAGTCGAAATACCATAAATCCATGATGGAGTACTACTACTTGTATACAGTTGGTCCCAAAAGAGAAAGGCGCCATCAACCATTCAACCTTTGCAATTCCAGTACAGAAACCAACCTGAAAAGGATGGATGGACTAGTACGTGCAATTCATTCTCTCAAGTTTGGTCTTCTTTTTTTTTCTTTTCTTTTCTTGGACCAAGAAGCCAAGAAACCCTCCGAAAATCGGAGTGAATGTAAAATGAGAAAATCAAATAGAGGAATGAATTTGGGAAAGAAAAATGGGGAGGGTGAGGAGGGGAGAAGACGAACCAGGGCGAGGAGGAGGTTCCTTGGGGAGTGGAACTGCTCCCAATCCCTCTCCCTGGCGAAGTCCGCCATCCTCCTCCGCAGCTCCTCCAGCCCCACCGTCGCCGCCGCCTCGGCGTCGCGGCCGCCGCGGCCCTCTCCCACCACCTCGACGCCGTTCATGATCTGTGCGAGAGAGAGAGAGAGAGAGAGAGGAATAGGGCGGAGGAAGGGATTGGTGGTGAGGACGCTATAAATAAAGAAGAGAAGAATGGGGAGAAGGGAGGAGGAGGAGGAGAGTGGCGGCCGGCGGCGCCATTGTTGGGCCGGCCCAGGTTGATGGCTACTTGTTCTCCTCCGTGCATGGCCCATCATGTGTATATGGTCCGGGAACCTCGAATATTTTGACTTGTTTAGAAACACATTACAAACGCACCTGCTTATAGATTACACGTACACTCTCACCTATATAAACACACACACCATATTCTTATAAGTATCTCTGAAAGAATATTGTTACCATGGACATCTCAGCTATCGACGGGTATGAAGAATTGGTTAGCATATCATGAGATTGAGGAAGTTACGATGGGCTCATTGCTTTCCATGCTTGGCATTTGGTGATCGTGATTGTGAAATAAATTGCTATATCATGCGGTAGAAGAGAGATTTAAGGAGAAAGAAGCGATAAGTTTTGAAAATAAGTTTAGGGCTAATGTTGGAGGCTGATTTTTTTATTTACATAAAAACACAAAATTATGGGATTGACGAAAGTAGTATAGGATATACTCTGAGTTATTATTTACAATCATCATCACGTGATAGCTTAGCTAGGAACATTATACGGATACGAACTCCCCCCAACATAATCGGCGTGTACGTCGGCCCACAAACGTGCTTCAACACAATCAGGATATGCTTCATATCCAGATTACATTCATATTATATTAGATTGTGTCACATCGATGTACGTGCTTAGGGAGTAGTCGCACGCAGGGTAGTTTGTTGATGAGATCAATTCATGCCCCAATCGATGATCGAGGCGCTTCAATTGGACGACTTGGATTCCGTCTTTGACTCTAGCTGCTTCGATTTGTGGACGGTATTATAACCGTTTGCACCAGATCCTCCGCCCGCTGGAAATCTCCGGTCCGCCGGTGTTCATCCTCTAAACCCGAGTCAATCTAGCTAGCTAAAAACCATCATCTTTATAAATAACAATTAAATTCGTCATGTAATGCCGACAAACAAAATTCATTGAAAATCACAATTTTGAAATGTTGCAGGTATTATTTCGCTGGTATACCGCTCTTAAAAGTTTCTTAAATTCATCCTACGTATGGTACATTCCTGCGCGAATGCGTGGGCTACCTTCCTAGTTAGCCGTAAATACTTGAACCTAGGTGGGCTGGTATCAGCACAAGGAACATAACCAGTTGAGTTACGCTCACCTCGCAACCGCCAAATATTTTGGTTGCGAACTCTCCGTGCTTGGTATTTGCTGGAGGGTGGCATTCGGCGATCGTGGTTGTGAAACAAACTCCTATATCATGCGGTGGGAGAGCAATATTTAAGGAGAAAGAACCTGGGATTTTGAAAATAAGTTTAGCGCTAAAGTTGAAGGCTGATGTTATTTAACTTAAAAAAACATGAAATTGTTGGATTGATGAAAGTAATGTGGAACATGCTCTACGAGTTATTATTTACAATCATCATCACATGATAGATTAGCTAAGAACATTATACGGACATGAACTCCCCAACACCATCGGCGTGTATGTCGGCCCACACACATACTTCAACACAATCTTGGTATACTTCATATCCAGATTTATAGTATTATTAGGATGTATCATATCGATGTACGAGGTTGGTTTATTTTCGTACAAGGGAGTAGTCGCATGCAAGGTAGTTTGTTGAACAGATCAATTCACGCGGTGAGATCGATCGATCGAGGCGCTTCAATCGGGCAGCTTGGAATCCGTCTTTGACCGCTGCTTGCTTCAATTCGCGGTCGTGTGCCCGGTATTATAACCATTTGCACTAGATCCTCTGCCCGTCGGAAACCTTCGATCCACCGTGTGCTCATCCTCCAAACCGGAGTCAATCTAGCTAATACCTTCATCTTCCGAGAGTACTTCAACCAAACCAAGTCAAGCCGTTTGAGATTAATTAAGCACGAGTTGGCGGCTGCCATACTAGCGCAGTGGCTGTCGGACATGGCCGGGTTGGTGATGAGCTGTTGCAACCCTATCCCTAACGTCACCAATGACGGCGCTGGAAACCCGGAAGCTCTCGCCGCCCAAACCATATGTAAGCATCCACCAATTAATATTTTGTTAGATCCAAGTAGATTAGATACAAACATGTTGTACTAGATTAGTGGAATTATTGTTTTATTACTTTTGTTTCTTTCTTTTTGCAGACACCGTCAACGAGATTGAAGCCTTGTATGAGCTTTTCAAGAGGATCGATGGTGCCGTCATCGAAGATGGCAAGATCAACATGGTACGCCGCGTTTGTTCATCATGTTTAACTAGGTTATAAATGCATATTGATTAGTAGAATCGTTATTTGGTTTACACATACCTTGAAGCATGCATGCATGCATGCATTTGTTTGCCCTTGATGATGGTACACATCAAACGGAAATTAAACACGTATGAATGAATCATGTCATTGTTTACTCGCTGCATGCGATGGCTCACTAATCCCAATCAATTATGAAGCCTCGGCCGTTCAATGATTATTTCTTCATGTTACCAATGAATAATTAGTCTTTGATTTCTAGCCAAACTGATTACATGGGGCCAAAGTTGAAGCTGCCTAAAGTTTTGAAGAAACACCAAATACATTCCTAGTATTTCTCCATTATTTCGGTCTTTTTACATCACCGTCTTAACTAATAATGTTTCAATTTAATTTGCAGGAAGAGTTCAACTTGAGAGTATTTGGTCCTGAAAAAGGAGGCACCTGTTTGCTGATCAGGTATGTATACACTTGCATGCTTTGATGAGCTTTTTCTTTCTCTCTTAATTCACCTAAATAAAGCAGATGATTTTTGCACTTTCACCCTCTTGTAAATAAACCAGCTCTTTAGTATGCCACATATCCAAATCTAAAATGGTCTAAAGTGCTGATATATCATAGGATTTATTTACAGTTAGTACTTAGGACACACGATTCAGTACTAGTGTTTCAGACGAGATAATTGAAGAAGATTGACAAGATACGTAAAATGAGGTGAACCATTAATGTACGATCAATTAAATATTAATTATTGTAAACTTGAAAAATGGATTAATATGACTTTTTAAAACAACTTTTGGATATATTTTTCTTTGTAAAAAAAATACACCATTAGTGGTATGGAAAGTTTGCACGTGGGAAACGAGGAATCTTTGCCTTCAATCCGCTAAAACGGACACATATGATATTGTCAACATGTATGTAAGGACAAAGCAGCAGACTAGCTGCTTTTTTGTCTTGTATTTTTGCTGTTTTGCTTTGTAGGTATTCGATTTATTTAACGTGAAGCATGAATAAGCTCTTGGATTTAAAGAGTTTGTAGTAGCTTTATCCATCTTCCATCTGATGCTCCCATTGAGGACAAGATTAATTGTAAGTTGATACTTGTTCAAAGTCCATGTCTAATGACTTCAGAAGGAAATGATCAACCTTAACCAAAGAAGATCATCACAATCAGGATATGCTCTACAAGTTATTATTAACAATCATCATCACGTGATAGCTTAGCTAGGAATATTATACGGACACGAACTCCCCAACACAATCGACGCGTATGTCGGCCCACACACTTGCTTCAACACAATTAGGATATGCTTCATATCCATATTGCATTCATAATATTAGACTGTGTTACATCGATGTACGAGCTTGGTTTATTTTGGAACAGATGGAGTAGTCGCACGCATGGTAGTTTGTTGATGAGATCAATTCACGCCCCGATCGACGATCGTGGCGCTTCAATCGGGTGGCTTGGATTCCGTCTTTGACTGCTGCTGCTTCGTTTCACGGCCGGTATTATAACAGTTTGCACCAGATCCTCCGCACGCCGGAAACCTCCAATCCGCCGGTGTTCATCCTCCAAACCGGAGTCAATCTAGCTGGCTAGCTAAAAACCATCATCTTCCGAGAGTACTTTAACCAAACCAAGTCAAGTCGTCTGAGATTGATTAATCGCGAGATGGCGGTGGCGATACTAGCGCAGTGGCTGTCAGATATGGCCGGGTTGGTGATGAGTTGCTGCAACCCTACAAGGTTGGTTTATTTTCGTACACTAGCAAAATGCCCGTGCATTGCAGCGGGTGTTAAATATGGAGCAATTTGATCGATGGCATTGCATATTTACCGTATCGAAAAAAACACCATTAATATTCGTGATACCTACCACGTGACGCCAATGAAAACACACCTTTGCGTGATGTCTTTGAAAATCACACAATTGCAAATTTACCGTATTAAAATAATACCACTATTAAAACCATGGTATTGCCGTCAAATATTTATTCAACCTTCGTCTAATGACATGCTTTCTAATTTTGGGTCTTTTTGAAGGAGGCCAAGCTTAGCCAAGCTAGTAGACATCTACCTCATGGGCGTGTGACGCGTGTCTGGCGACGTCACTAAGCGGGTGTGCGCAGGGAGGTGCAACCCGATGAGGTGGCCATGCTCGCATGGCGACGACATCTTTCTCCTCATCTACAACAACCGGTAGCTCCGTGTGCTTGACATGGCGTCTCCCTCGTCCCCAATGATGAGGACCACCCCACCAACTACTCGTTCACGCTCGGCAGGGCTGCATAGTCGAGAGAACACAATGTGTTGCGCATCAACACGACAACACGTACGCTGCTGTTGCACGAGCCGTAGGACTGCACCGTCCTCACCCTCGGTGGTGGCCACCACTGTGCGTGGTGGAGCTAGGGAGGTAGAGGCACCAAGCCCACCACACACCATCGGGACAGGACATGGGTGCACGTGATCGTCTCTGACGGGGTGACATATTTCTTGTTGCCTCACATACAACATGGACTAGATCACGGCATTCGTCCTCGAGGAGAAGCAATTGTGGCCAGAACTTGTCGATGGCATGCCGCTCGCTGCATGGTGCCTGACAAAGACCGGCCGAACTGCCTCCACCTCCGCATCACACTGGCCGCAAGATGAGAGGCGCCTAGCTTGGTGGTGGCCGATCGACGACAACTACATAGCTGCCACCCCGGACCTGTGTTTCCTCCTTTCTAGCTAACTCCAGCGATGGCATGGCGGGAAATGCACTGGTCGAAGTAGTGCACCAGTCTCTGTCGATGACGACGTGAATGTCAAGGTTCTTCCTTATCGTACCTTTTGACTGGACCATACCACCGCCATCATGGTGTTGGCGGTTGTTAAATGTCGATTTTATACCGCCAACATCTGTATAAAGTTCGGATAATAAAACATCCAACATAGTGATAGGTGCTTAAATCTCACATATTCCACAGTGTTGGTGTATATTTATATGCAGGTGATAAACCCCGATGTTGGGAGGAAATCTAGACTAAAGTGAGGAGAATTCTGTGTCCATACAAGGATGGGTTGTGAACTTCATCAAAACATCAGTAAATCAACCCAAAATGCCAAGAAATGGATAAAGGAGGATTAGGGGAAGAGATGGGCCGAAGACCAGGCCAGATGGGCCCAGCCCAGGTTTGGCCGAACCACAGTCGTTCAGGTTGGGGTTTGGCGTGGACGCTCCAGATCATTCCCTGATGGCGGTTAGAGGGCACTTCGGACATTTTCCCTTCGCCAACCGTCATACCTACCCCTATATAAGGACATCATCTCACTCACTTCAACACACACTTCCAAGCTTGAACTGAATTATAAGAGGCTTTATTGTACTATATTGTATACTAGAATAGGAAGAGAGTAGAGTAGAAGAAGTCGGAAGAATTCCGGAGTTGTCGGTAATTTTCTCCTATTTCTTTTATTCTGTTTATTACTCTGAATTCAATATAATATTCTTCTTGAGTAATTTAGATTTGTCTTGTGAGAATTATCTCTTGGTTAGTTCCTAAGTAGCATATGGGATTATTGTTCACTATAATCAACTAAAATATAGTGATTACTTTGGTGAGTTATAAACACTAAGGTAGATAGTAATTGCTTAGACGTGGTGTTTAGGTAATTGTTATCCAGTAATTGCTGCGTATCCCACAGTACGTTTGAGGTGGGTGTAGAGATGGTGACAGCCCTCAAGATCACTTAAGTCCTCCCTGTCCGGGTACGTAGTAGAGCAACATCTGGTAACAGCGGGTTGCCAGTGCCTGAAGTATTGCATTAGGATTAAAGTTAAGCTTTCCCTAGACACTGTTCCTCACTAGTAAATCCTCTCTATCCTAGCCTATCATTTGCTTGGTGTCCTTGGATGAACCGGAGGAAGATCTGACCACACACGTTCCCTTGGATTCGATACCCTTGGAATACTCCATAGGGGAAGTGCTACATCGGTATATCCGTGCGCTTGCGGATTTTATCTGTGATCATAAAAAATACCAACACATGGCAGCCATTTTTTCCTTGCTGGCACAGCTGGTCCAGAATCAGGATCGGCAGTGATCATCTTCGGTGCTGTGCCACCTACCCGTGCGCCATCGGCGCAGCCACCAATAGCACTACCAAGAGGATCGATGGTCATCAAAGCTGCCAATGGATGCCTTCTCCTATTGCCATGCTAGCTGATCTTGCTCTTTTTTGGCCACGTGCAATTGCAACAAAAGCAATGCAAAGAGATGCATCATAAGTGATATTAGACTAAATATATTGGGGATGTGGTGGAGTTAGATGGAAGAGATTAAGGGTGTGTTTGGTTGAGCTGTGGCTTTTGAAAAAGCTGCTGTGAGCTATGGACTGTGGAAAAGCAGCTGTGGAAAATCAGCTGTGGCTAAAGCAGAAGCCCATTTGGTTAGAACAGCTGTGAAACTGTATGTTGTAGAAGAAATACCTGTAATACCCCTAAAGGTCTGTGGGACCGTTTACATACAAATTACTCGTAAAAACCTAATCTGTTCAATATTTCGTATTTAAAATGCTAATTTTGAAAGAAAAAAATTATAAGTTTTTCATCCATCAAAGGTTTTCATCAAAATATATTAGTTTTTCATCCATCAAAGTGATATGGTCCATATAAACAGAGCAAAAGATAAATGATTCATACAAACCTTATCAAAAAGCTACTACTACAAGCCTCATCATCAAGGATGATTCCAAATGCAAACAATCTTTCTTGCTTTGCTTGCATTCTGGTGAAACTGAGGATGCAAACAGATCAGAGTGATGTGTTACTTCCAAGGCAATCTTCCACTAAACAGGATGCATCATCCAAGGTGAGATGAGAGTATGAGACACCTCACCTCACTGTAGGAGACTCATTGAAGCAGAACAAGGCAAAGGTGAGTCAGGATAATGAGAGCCTGAACACACTGACTGACCAACTCGAAGAAAACTACACTGTACTTTTTTTTTCTTTTTTCTGTTCTTTAGGCACCAAACTGGCGAGAGGCTGCTGCTCGACTTCCAGCGACTTCGCCCAGAAGCTGCTGCTCGACCTCCGGCGCCGCCGCGAGAGGCTCGGCTTCAACTCGCCGGCGCCGCCGCAGAGCACATCGTCGTCCAATGCCGCCGCTCTTCTTCGTTGTCCAACGCTGCCGCGGAAGGGGCGGGCAGCATCGAACACCTTCTCCGATTGCACGCCGCCGCCGCCGAGGCGGCCGTCTCGGCGAGGCTGCTTGAGCTGGCGACCGACGATGACGCGGCGGGCCTCGGGAAGCTCCTTGCGGCGTGCCCCTCCCCCGCCAACGAGCCCGCGCCATGGAGCTTCTGACCCCGCTCAGCCTCGACATCAAGAACGACGCCTAGCCTCTGACCACTACAGCTGTGTGCCGAGCTCGGAGTTCGACCACGCCATCGCTGCCGCTATTGCCGCCGCCGTCTACCACCTCACCTCCATCCGCAAGCAGCCGCACCACCACCCGTGCCTCTCGCCCGAGGCGGCTGCCGCAGCGAGGAGGTGCGTGGAACGGGAGGTCGCCGCGCTCCGCCACATGCATGGCCACCCGCACGTGGTGGGGCTCCTCGACGTCCTCGCCACCCGCTCCACCGTGTACCTCGTCCTCAAGCTCGCCCGCGGCGGCGGCGGCGTCATCGCGACCTCCGTCTCCCCCTTTCCCCTTTCCCCGCAACGGGCGAGGAGGAGGAGGAGGAGGAGCAGCGGCGGCGGCTCGGTGAGGAAGAGGAGCGGCGCACAGTGGAGAAGCGGTTCGGCGAGGAGGAGGAGCGGCGGCGGAGGCTCGGTGAGGAAGAGGAGCTGCGCGCAGTGGAGGAGTGGCTCGGCGAGGAGTGGCGGCGGCGGGGCAGCTCGGCGAGGAGGAGGAGCGGCGGCGGCGGCTCGGTGAGGAGGAGGAGCGGCGCGCGATGGAACAGACAGGTGAAAAAATAGAATGAAGCGAAACGTTTTTTTTTCACTAGTAGCGTTGCTACGGGGAATTTTGTTGATCACGGGGGGTAAATTCTGGCATCGAAAAGACAAATATGGCATCGTAATGAAACAATCTCATGGCGTTTACTAAATTATAAAAAGCAACATAGATAGAAGACATCTATGAAAATTTGATGATGTTATACAAATAAAGCACAAACAAGAAATATAGAACATCCAGTAGATACGGTATTTCTAATGGATGATCACCTCAAATTAAATCACTCCATATTATAGTTAAATAACTACCCTAATGTTGTTCCATATAGTTAAATAACTACCCTAATGTTGTGCATTTTTTATACACTTTAGAAAATCTTGTACGCCGTTAGGGATGTTGCTTTCACACTCATTTTGTTGGTACATCAGTAGATTTAGCAAAAAAAAAGTTTCCTTAGCTCGTCACCATCCTGCACATGTATTTAATAAGTTAAATTTTGGTAAATATATAATAATGTAATATATAAATAATCAATGCCTGTCACGACTTACATTAATTGCCGACAAATGTGGTTCTTTATTATTCCATGTACACATGAAAAGATGAACAAGAAAACCCGATAAACTCCTAAGGAAATTGAAGAGTTAGCTTCCCTTTCTCTACACAGTTAAATTTGTTGGTTTGAACGTGTTTTTAAGAAGATAACTTACCTGTTGTAAACCGGATTATTGACAATTACTTGCCTCCACAAGTTGATGTCTTCATTCCACCTAGAGCCAGGGCATGCCTTTCTCATAGCTTTGTTGAAGTGATCACAAATAGTTATCAGTTTTCTGGTGTATCTCATGTTTGGGTTATTTTTATATTCTGGCATAAGTGGATTTGGGTCTAATACATAGAGCGTTTGACTTTCTTGGTCCACTACGAGCACGATAAAACTTCGAGCATGGCGTACTAGTATAAGAATCTACAAAAGATCAACCATCAAGATAATATATAAAACACGGCCATATACGATGGAATCTTAGCGATCTTATCGCTTTGCACTGTGAAAGTTTGTAATGAATTTCTGACCAACTACCGACGGTCTCTGCAAGATTTATGTTGTCATGGTGGACCAGGTCTTTACCAAAGCCAGTAACCCTCTACATGATTTAAAAAATGGTTCAATTACATAAGCAATAGAGAAATCAATATATTCGATATTGCGATTCTAGGTAATAACATGAGCAATAGAGAATGACATGAGCATTAGAATTTAAAAACTTACCCAAAATTGCAAGTCCAGGCAATGATTCGATATTGCTTCTTTAGTTTTATGAATCATCTCGATTTTTTCATACATGAACTTATGAATAGCCATGTTGAAGCATTCACTTTCCAATGGCTCGTCCTTCTTTAGTATTGTTTGAAGCTGTTTAAGACTCAAGCTAATAAAGTGCGGCATTGAACTTTGTACCCATATTTTCCTGTCAATCAAAGAAAAAATTTAATGCATATATGAATTACGATTGTGTATACAATGCATTGCAGTGGCTTACTCCATGGCTTCAGCACAATTAATCTGTTGGATGTAGTGCAGAAGGCCGCTTATCAACTCTTGTTTACTCATCTTAGATACCACAGAGAGTAGTGAACTATATTTTTTTTACTTCTTTAGTTTCATTAATGTCCCTTGTAGAGCTGAATTTCTGTTGATGACTACCCAATATAACAACATCGTCATCACTATCTTTGGTATCTTCGCTTTGTTCCCCGGTCGTCATGACCGCCTTATTTGTTTTCCAACGTAATAATACACTGGCTAGTTTGGACCTAAAAAGTGTAATATCCTCCTACGCATTAAAAAGTAAATTTGTTTAATTTAAAATAGATAAGATATTTGATCAACTATTTTTTTATTAAGAAACACACCTGTGTAATAGAACGAGAAAGTGATTCACCTGTCCAATTCTCCATAAGTTTGAGCATGAATAGTCCACATGAAGAACTGCATTGTTTTAAAGTATAAGTACAACTATTAAAAACTAAACAACAGTACACCATTTGAAATATATCATTCATCTTATATTAATATTCCATGAAAAATTTATTTGTAGTATACCTGTCTTCCTGAATTCTTTCTTTTAGTTGTTCTATTATTGGCCACTTGATAACATTGAGGTCACCCCATTTGTGGCTAGGCAAGTCCTGTTGCCGTCCAATAATATTAAGATGATATTGTAGTCCTTGTAGCTGCTCAATTATCATATTTGCAGTCAGCAATATACATAAATGAATTACAATCTTAAAAAAAAAGAGAGTTCACATGTCATGTACACTAACCGTATTTGCGAGGTCAACACGATTGAATGTCATACACATGGAATCAAGTACTTGTATCTGTTGTTTTTCTGTGTTGACAACCGGTAAATACCGATGTTTATCTTTCATATTTATTGGAATAAAAATCTAAACAAGACATGGAGTTAGGACATATATTATATTATATATATATATATAAATAATAAACTTAAATACTATCAAATATAGAGATCCAAACAATACCAGTTCATGGTCTAGGTAATTCTTCACTATCTTTGTAATAAAGTTATCTTTATCTTCATTTACTCCATTGACCCCAGCCGCTTTCAGCATGTCAGAAAGAAACGGGTTTTCATATTTGACTTTCTTATCGTTATTTGCTTGCTCCCTCATACAGTGTATGTACGCACTGATGACCTGTTGATTCAATTAAAAATCTGCAATTAATAAAGAATATGTTGGCAATTAAATTGTAACGTTGCTTCATCATAGGTAGTTTTACTTACATCATCGTTCAAAAATTTATCTCCAGAGAAGGCACGTTAGGTGATGTTTCTTGTTATAAAAATCTCCCATGTCCACCAGTGTACAATTTTCAGTCAAATCTTCAATTAAAAATATGGCCATTACATCCTCGTCTGTTAATTCATAATCTGTAAAACAAAAAAAATGAATTCTGATATCACAAAGTTTTATATATAAAGCACAACCACTATTAAACCAAAGACCAAGAGATAATTATGCATGCACCCAATAAAATTAGAGGTCTTGGTGGAGAGTTTAAATAATAATATTTTAGTGGAGAAGAGGTGTTAGTTAATGACATGCATACATATATGCCTTATATTATGAAACAACTTTAAAAAGTAATTTTGCCGTACATTGTGGAATGAAGGGAGTATGTGAAAACCATAATGTACCTTGAGGGAGATACTCGTAGGTCTGGCCAAACATAGATCGTATCAAATTTGATGGTACATTAATATTTGGCATGCTGACTTTGCATACTCCATGCTCCTCGGATTCCGAATTTGTTGCTTTCTTTGAGGGTGGGGTTGTAATGATATCAGCATGAATGGCGTCTTGATTGACCTGAGTACCACATGAAATTAAGCAAGGATATCTATATTGCATATGGAAATTATATATAACACTGGAAAAAAAACACGTCGGCAGGGATGTCAATAACATATTATTGTAGCATTAGTCGGTGCAATGCTTTATTTTGCTCGATCATAGCTATCAATCTTTTTTTCTTGGTGAACCATACCACTCAGAGTATTATATATTATTTGTAAAATAAGCTGAGGGCCAGGTTGATTTTATGTTGAGTTATGTTGTTAGAGTTATTTTATAAAACCATAAAAATATATTTGTTCTAATTGAAAACTATTTAATTAATTATGCGTTAATGAGTCCCTCGGTTTTGCGAGTGCGAGAGATGAGTTCATCATATAAGTAAAGAAGCAACCCTGAGAACTACGCACAAGCTAGTGTAGGAGTATATATTAATGCAATTGACATATTTGTAAGTAATAATTTTTTAATATAATAGTGGATGGCTAGCTAGGTGCTTTAATTAATAATCAAGTAACGTACAGTGTATAGCATTAATCTACAGTACCATGCATTAACATTAGCTAGCTAATGTACTGCCTGCTATAAGTAACCCAAATCGCAATAGAACGCATATATATATATATATATATATATATATATATATATATATATATATATATATATATATATAGAGAGAGAGAGAGAGAGAGAGAGGATACTCATATGGTACTCTATGGTGCCCAGGCTCCAAGGTATAAAACACACAAATTCTCTTAAATTTTTAAAAGTTTTCAAATTGTGAGTATATACCTAGGAATATGAATTTGATTCATACTAATACCTAAAAGCAAAATAACTCAAACTAACCTTTATTTCACAATTTATTATTATATACCTAACGAATTATATGTTTGGATGTTATATACCTAGAACCAAAATATAACAAAAAAAAGTTAAAACTCAGTTCAAACTTGTTTGAACTTGTTAGTAAAGAAGTTAATGTTCATACCTAAACATTTAAAAAAATTCATACTCATTCAAATTGGGTATATACTCAATTTGAATATTAGAGCCCATACTCCATATAGCACCAGTTAATTTACCTATATATATATATATGTATGTATGTATGTATGTATCGATAGTCTTCATGGACTAATTAAGCTGGGTGCTTAACTTACCGGATCAATATCTGTGCTGACATTGCTTGGCGCCGAAGAGGACGGCAAGGGCGGCGGAGGAGGAGCCGGTGACGGCAATGGCGGCGGCGGTGGCGACGACGGGACTGGCGGCTGAGCCGGCGACGACGGGACTGGCGGCGGCGGCGGCGTCATCGACAACAGTAGTGGCGGAGGAGTCTGCGGATGTGGCGGAGTCGGCGAGGGCGGATTTGACGGCGATGCATCCATCGTGTGGTGGTCGCGTAGTCTGGTTTCGGTGGATTTTGCGACGGCAGCGGCGCTTGTTTACCAGCCTTGGTATTCGGCGAGTTGTGCGGCGGCGATACGACGAGCAGATCAAACTGAATATCACGACAACGCTTAGCAAGGAAATAGGGCACCAGCTTATCTTATATAGGGCTTAATCTTTATGAGTTGATGGGCCTTATCAACTCGAAAGTGATTCTTGACTGACTAATATTATATAGGCCTTAATCTGGATGAGTTGATGGGCCTTATCACGTGTCCTGGGTACGCAGGAGTCGAGGCGGTTTCACGCTTCTTCCTTCCTTCCTGACTAATATTATATAGGCCTTAATCTGGATGAGTTGATGGGCCTTATCACGTGTCCTGGGTACGCAGGAGTCGAGGCGGTTTCACGCTTCTTCCTTCCTTCCTGACTAATATTTATATAGGCCTTAATCTGGATGAGTTGATGGGCCTTTTCACGTGTCCTGGGTACGCAGGAGTCGAGGCGGTTTCATGCTTCTTCCTTCCTTCGATTATTTTGTCCTTCAATCTTCGGGACACTTCGATTATTTTGTCCTTCAATCTTCGGGACACTGAATAAATCCAATATCATGGTTACGATTAAAATTAGAAGGAAAAAAATTGAGAGAACAAAATTGTTGGACCATGCACGTACGTATATCTCGTTAAAAAAATAAAGGGAATGTATCACAATTAAATTTTTTGGTCGATCCGGTCCGAACAAACCGGATGCAATTAATTAGGACGTAAAATATTTTTTCATAATATTATAGTTTTGGTTTAATTTATGTGTATGAAAATAACACGTGCATTGCAAGGGGGAACATATGCATCATTGGAAAACCATGTGTTTTTTTATCTGGTTCGAACATACCGGACGAAATCCGGACATAACAAATCATCATAATCGAAATAATAGGACAGTTTAATTTATGTTTCTACGACCGAAAAAACAACGTTAATAGACCAGAGCATCCCTACAAATGTTAAACATGTAACCAAAATCATGAATCTAAAAGCAATCTCTTAAGCTTATTAAAAACGGGCGATAGTATTCTCTTGTTGTATCAAAGGCACATCTCGTCTGATGATTCCTTGAGGATCCAATCGGTCTAAAAGGGAAGCAATAGTAATAAATTTCGCTCTCAAGGAAACGACTGCTTGAGTGAACTGTAGAGCATCCTCATGAGAACTAACGAATAAATGACGAATCACGCCCAACTCAGGTGCACTGAGTGAATCTGTAGAGTTGGTCAATTCGGAGTCCACCGTAGTAGTTGATATCTCTGCACGATAAGCAAGTCAGTCTGACAGTGTTCAGTTCTATTACCTCGCAAACAAAATGGTAAAATAGTAATTCATTTTAGGATGATTTGTTACTTACCGGTTAGAATATCTAATTTCTTGAGCCATGTAGCAGACATGCAGCAATACTGTGATACAAGTGCTTGCCACCACACTGTATGTCGAGATGCATATTCACCCCAAATTCGAAGAAAGATTACCTTATATCTGTAGTACTAAAAGTGGATTAGGGACCACTCACAATATGGGAACATGTTATGTAAAAGAAAAACTGAAAATGAACTCACCGACGATTAACCAAGGCAATATCCCTAGTAGGTATACTTTGTCCGTAAAGTTAGTGATGATGTATTTCTCCCACGTATATAAGCACACCAACAACATCTGAACGAATATTTATGCAATGAACATAACTATAGAGTTTAAAAATAGGGCTGAAAATAGTTATTGAAGGTTGTTGCTTTACCTATGAACATATCATCACTTATCGCGTCGGTAAAAATAGCACCGAAGTCTACAAAACGAGGCTTGCGTAGGGCTGTCTTTGGTGTCAGAATCATACAAAACTTAGCTTGCATGGTTAGGTTGGCATAGGTAGGCACATCGGTCGGTTGGAACCCACATTAGTAAAATCATAGACTAAGCCACTCTGTATGGTTCCATTAAAACGATCTGCTTGCTGGTCATACGCTAGTGCTTCCATCCTTGTATCCTACGTTTAAATTGTACATATATAATAAAGGCATAATTTCCATAATTTTTGTGCACAACGCTCAATTATATCTAGCAATTAGGAGGAGAGGGGTGATGCGTGTGACATACCGTTGCATCCTTTAGGATAAACCGAATATATTGAGCACCAAATTTGTTTTGCTGCACGGGAGATTTGAACACCACCTTCGCACTCACCTTCCAGCATGTTCGGAAGACGTGTTCCATCTTAATCTCATCGAACTCTACTGACCTGCAGCCATGCATAAAGTAACGGTAAACATACAAAAGGAGGAACGTACCCTCAACTTACGAAAATTTGATATAAAATTTTACACAAAATGACAAATAAAAGAAGAATAACAAACATGTGAAATATCCTTTCCTGTTAAATGGTTTTATGATTGTTACAGGTTGAGATGCATCAGGCAGCTGTTCTGACGTGGGGGCATGAACCCGGTTGGAGATGTGTGTGCGATAGTTTGCCGACATCATGTTGTTGTAATTGACACTCTATTGGAAGTGAATCATTGAAGTTGCCAAAAAAAATTGTAATATTAGACAAACAGATAACATGGAAATTCAATTTGCAACAAACGAGAGTATACCACAAGAATGTGGTGGTGTTGCTACTGCTCACCTCTTATTTCACATATAGTGCAGTAGAAAGGCACCTCTTCAAAATTCAGTTGCAGTTGAAGATCGATTTGAAGTGTTGCACTTGCGGCGGCAGCGTCGTCGCGGCAGCCGACCGCCGATGAAAGGCGCTTGGATGCGGCGGCGATTGGAATGCAGTGGATGGGATGCCTAGGTGGGAACCGACGAGATAAACGGAAGGTCGGTGCTACACGCGCGGCGGCAATCTCGCGGCGACAAAACGGAAGCAGCTCGTCACGTTTCATTGCTCCGTGATATGGGCCGATCAGGCCCCATAGCTTGTATACATCCTTTCTCAGTTAATAGGACGAGTGCACAGTAGCATGGAAAAAAAATCAAAGCACGTAGCTTTTGAAGTACCAGAAGCAAGCAACGAGCGAACGATTTAGATATAAAACAATTTTCCAGATGATGCGACGACGGCCGAGAGCGTGCGGCGGCGCGACGACGGCGACGAGTTGTGGCGGCGGCCGGGTGCGTGTGGCTGCCGCGGCTGGTCACGGCGGCGGCGGCCGGATGCGTGCTGCGGTGCGACGACGACGACGACGAGTTGCGGTCACCGGTTGCGTACGGGGCAGAAGGCGGGCAGCGATTTTCGTGTTTTAATTTTTTTTCCGAGCAGGCTGTATCATTTGGCCGCGCGGGATAATCAACTATGCAGTGTGGCAGCGGTCGGGTGTGTGCGGCGGCCGCGGTAGCGGCGGCCGGATGCGTGATGCGGTGCGACGACGGCGACAACAAGTTGCGGTGGCCGGATGCGTGCGGGCCAGCGGGCAGGCAGTGATTTTTGCGTTTTAATTTTTTTCCATGCGGGCGGTATGATTTGGCCGCACGGGTTAATCAATTATACAGTGTGGTTGGGCCACCCAACCGTGAAAATATATAGTTTTCTAGACACTCAGGTACATACGGTCAAATCCTCCACTCGGAAAAATCATCTTGATCGCACGTAAAAAATGCTTTTCATATAGATTCGTGGACAACATTTTATATGAGTGGCAACAACTTTTGTATCATATTGAGATTGTAAAATTGTGCTGCTTATTCTGAGTAAGCAACAAAGTTGATGACACTATAAAAACTTGGAAGCGAAAAATCATTATTTGTATGCGAAATAAAGGTAACTATAGTTGCCTTCATTAAAATCTTCTAGTTTTGGCGTTGATAATTATGAAGGTTTCTTCTAGCGATAGACTCTTCAACCTGCTCTTGAACATTAGAAGGTGATACTTCTAACGCCTGGCGCAGAACATTGAATTCATTTGCTGATGCTGAATCAGGATTAAAAATTATGTCAGATTCATAAGTAGTTGATAGTTCATCTGCAAAAGGAAAAGGTCAGTTAGTTTAAAATATGTGATTTATCACGGTGGCAAATATGTTAGAGAAATAGAGGGGGGCTTCCTTACCTGCTCTTCTGTCCACCCTCGTCAGCGTAGCCACAAAACAATCGAAATGTGTCCGTGGTGAGCGCCACCTAGTCAAGTTGCGGGTAAGTTGTTGGTCCCATACACGAACGAAAATTATCTGCAACCTGATTTACAAAAATTGTATGCAACATGAGTGTTGTGTGATCTCAATTAATTAATACATGTAAAGAAATGGAGCATGTCGTACCTAGGATTAACCAGCGCGATTATCCTTGTCCGACGCAAATACAAACTCCTGAACTCAATGTCCACGACATGCACAACTAATCCAATGACATCTGCACAACCCATAGACACATTAGTTTTTCATTTGCTAGCAACTAAACAAAGAATGGTATTTTTGTCAGTACCAAATCAAACAATATACCTACTAAAGAATTGTGCCTTGCCAAAAAAATATCATCATATTCTGGAAAACGCCATGGACAACGTAGCATGTGGACATGACCATGAGGCGTGCGGGTAGTTGTTGCACTATTGAGAATCATGCAGAAGTGAGATCTTATCTTAAATCTTAGATGCACGATCATTTCCGTCGGATCAAACCCGACGTTATAGAAATCATAAACAGATCCACATCTTAAAAGCTGGTTGAAATGCTCAGCTTGACGATGGTAAACAATTGCCTCCATCTTAGTGCCCTACACATGTTATGAGATGTAAGACTATAAGACACTAAAAAAATTATTGTCGTAAAAATCAATCAATCAATAAATATAAAGATTTTAGCTTCGGCGTGATCTGATTGGCTGAGGTGATAAGCAATAGAGTGTTGACATGCACTGAGAGGCTTGCTAGATACAGTGAGTCACAATGGAAATAAACTACATATTAGATCTAAAATTCTGAAAAAGAAGATTGAAAAATCATTTTGACTTACCAATTCATCAATTAGTATTAACCGAATTTGTAGATCGCCGTAATAATTCTCTTGCAGATGTCCTTTCTTGATGACCCTCACACGGACAATCCACCATTTCCAGTGTATGTGATCCATTTGTATCTCGTGGAACCGAACAATTCTACATGGGGAAGACAATATACACAATATGATAGCATTGCACAATCCATCAATAGAAGAAACAATAGAATGAAGGAAGAGTGACCTCCATGGTTGAACGGCTACGCCATTCTCCATCTTGCATGGTAATCAGCCGTTCGGAAGAGACGTCCGGAAGAACGGGTGGAAATGGTGGCGGCTGGCAACAAGAGCTGCTGGCGCCATTTATGTGATGATTGTTAACTAATCACGATTAGCGTTATCTTGCCGTGGCGTCAAAATCGAATCAAATACCAAAAAAATCGCCAGCTGGCTGTTGGCTGGTTCTGGCACGTCGAAATCGAAACAAACACCCAAACAAATCGTTGGCTGTTGGCTGGTTCTGGCATTGGACTTTAACAGTCAGGTCATATGGGTCGATTAGGCCCATAAGGCCCATAGTTTGTTTCCTTTATCAATTAATTGAACATTGAGTCACATAAACAAACAATATATCCGTGCTAACGGTACGGTGCAATTATATAATAACACAAATAATAAAACAATATCAGCTTCGTCTCTCTTATGCTTGAAAGCTAAAATTAAAATTTCAAAACTTAATTTTGAAGTTGAATTTGTTGTATTTTGTTGTAGTTTATTTTACAGTATGCCCTTTTTAATCGGTAAAGACACGCATATGAAAAGTTTTTTCTTCAGTTGCTAATCCACGAGATAGATTAAAGATTAATATAAAGAAAAAGAGAGAAAAGATAAAATTATTTAGCACTAAAATATCACCATATTCTAGTATCATGGAAATGCAATGCAATGCATATTTTCCTGTACTCGTAAAACATCTAATTCCAGATTACTCCATATTCTAGTATCATGGAAATGCAATGCATATTTTCCTGTACTCGTACCAAATATGCAAACACGCTCAAATCTAACTTGTCAAAGCTTGGAAGGCTCAATCCAAGAGAGCTATGATTTTCAATTAGTCACAGGAACTCCAGTATCCAACTTTCTTTTTTTAAAAAAAACAGTATACAGTATCTGCACAATAGCTTCATGCCAACCAATGTAACTTCAAAATGCAACCCTCTCAATCCAACACCAGTATCTAGTATCTACACAATAGCTTTATGCTGACTGCACGCATCTGGAGTCAGTGCTGACAAGCACACAACACACACACAGGCAGGCAAGCAGAGGTAATGCATCAGTTTATAGAAGATCCAGTAATCAGCCATAAGCAAAACAATGGAATTGCTGATGCTTATAAGCATCAGGCTAGTTCTGCTGAAAAGCAGCAGCAACTGCAAAACAATGGCGCCTAAATACACTATTGTCGGAGCATATTTTATTCCTTACAAGTAAAATCATAGGCAATACCACAATATGCTAAGCTTCATAAGTCAAATTTCGTATAGATGAAACGGCGTCTGCGGAGTAGATCGGCGATGTGGGCAGCGGCGACGGTCGGCAGCAGCTACAGAGGAGATCGGCAAGGCGGGTGTTGCTGGCTTCGGTGGTCCTCGAGGTGGATCGGTGGTCTTCGGCTTCAGCGGTTGTCGTTAGGGGCGAGGCGGCGACGGCGTCAGCGTCCCTGATTGACACAATTTAGTTTCTTAGCCCAAACATCTAGGCATTATGTACCAAGCAAAAAAGAAAGATAGTAGGTCAGCAGATCAGAGAACCATAGTTGTAACCCACTGAATTCCTGAAACAAATAAGTAAAATGTACAGAAATTAAATCATCAAGTTTTCTCACAATCTAATTCCAACTGATGATATATCATCATGCAACTACCATCTGATCATGAGTAGCAGCAACATAGGTATGTGCACAGATAAAGAGTACAAAACCACATATGGTCAAATGATCCGCGAAAGATAAGAAAAATGAACTAAAATGCCACTGAATGTCTAAAATCAGTAAACAGAGATCTATAAACAAATACAAGTTCTATTATACATGCAGTTGCAGAGTGTATGTCAAGTCAAACACTGACCAAATAAATATTATTAATATATAATATATGCCATCAGTCCACATTAACTATATAGATGCCCTTATTTGACCAAAAATTTGATCATGCATTCAAAAGGCATAAATGGGTTCACAAACTTGCCATCTGTTAGCTTAAGGGCTTCTTTGGAACATATGACTTTACAAAAATTAGTTCAAATCTGGTAAACTTCCTCCTCTCCAAAGAAGTCCTGTATGGCGATTGAAATGGAATTGTAAGTTAATTTTATACAATTACCTACTGTTAACAATGAATGTTCATCAGGAAGGAAATTTGTGCTAGATGCATCCCTTCACTATTTCTTGCACACGCCTACAATGCTTCCACTGGGTCTATCCATCTTGCATATGAATTGACAAAAGTGCAGAAATGGTCAGAGAAAAAACAAAAAATGAAAGAAATCCACAAATCCTAAATGTTAAAATAATAGTGGTCCCTATAGTCCATCTTGCTTTGTCAACCTGACAATAATAGATCAAGAGCATAATAATGTTTTGCTCCTAATCCAGGCACAGCACCCCATCGCCAAAGATGCAATCCGACATCACTGATTTGACTCTCTTGCTAGAAACATCAAATAGTTTGGCAGAAGTGAGCTTAGCATGAGCAGGGAAAACTCGTACCAAAATAATGTTAGAAACAAAAATTCTATATTTTTTTTTCTTTGATAAAGAACAAAGTTTTATTTGATACAGTAATAGGCTAATAGCATGAGCTCAAATGTTGGCTTTCAGTTCAGATGATCTCCACTCAAGTGGTAATTCAGTACCCCACTGGAAACTGGACTGCCACAACATGATTACAAGAAATGCTAAACTGCAATTGGCTTCTCTCCTCTTAGCAAAGAATAAAAAATAATGAGCAAGGGAAGAGCTGCCAGGGTGGTTCACCCTCGACTGATAGAAAAACATCTTTACCTGATCACCTGCAATTCCTTGGCGAGCAGCCGACTACAACGGTTTTGGTCTCTGAATCAGCCATGATGAGGAGGCGGCGGGAGGGACTGCTCGGGGAAGGAGTGGATGTAGGCATAACAGGAGAAGGGGCAGACCAAGAAAGTAATGTTGATTCCTGTCCAAGAAAAAAACTCACGAAATGTTAGACTTGGAATATAAAATTTACAGTAAGAAGGAATTTAAGCATATTGTGGATGGTTAATTAGTCACATAATATACCTTTTCTAATCTGTGAGGACCTCTCTATACACAATATTTTTTGTGTATGTTGGACCCTGTTTAGACAATTCCTTTCCTTTCTTCTCATTGTCCCTTCACTCCAGTACGCTTAGACTTTTTCTTTTGTTTCTTGTCTTCTACATGCATCGATAGTATTTTTTATGTTTGATCTAGAGGTTGCTCTAGATAGCGCGACATATAGTTGACCATGAGAGAAGACAGGCTCTGGTAAGTAGACGCCTGCATTTGGAATCGTTTGACCCTGCGCCTTATTGATGGTCAATGCAAAGCTCAATCTAACCAGAAATTGCTTCCTCTTGAAGCGAAACGGGAACATCTCATCATCAGAAGGACATAAAGGTATTCGAGGAAGGAAAACTCTCTTTCCAGCATGCTGCCCTACAACAATCTCTGCGTCAATAGCATTTTTTCCGAACTGACGAACCACCAGCCTTGTCCCATTGCAAAGTCCGTTGGCTGGGTCAATGTTCCTCAAAAGCATGATGGGACAGTTTATCTTCAGCTTAAGCACATGCGGAGGTAGCCCATTTGGAGTTAGAGAGTTCAAGAATTCCGGCGGGTAATAGTTATGAGGGTCATCATCTGCTCGGTCAAAACTATGATATGTCATCACATCTCCTCTAAACCGCTCAATCATCTTCATGTTTATTCGATCGACGAACTCATTCCTAGTGGACAATATGGCCCTACATGTGATGTAGTTTGGGTCCGTCAGGTTATCGTTTAGGTTAGGGAACACGGTATCGATGAGCCTTTCTAGGTCCGTTTCATTCCCTTTGCACGACACGCAAATATCCGAAGGAAGGCCTATGAGTCCTTCCTTGTTCACCTCCTCGGTTCCATTCCCAACTCGAAGGAGGTAGTCCGCAAACCATGCATCGCTCTGCGCCCTCATATTGCGAACAAGCTTCAATTGAACCTTACAATCCCAAAGATAGGACCTGCGTAGAGTGGCATCTGTTATCTGAGACCTAGTGCCCTTCCTAATGACCGGGAGCACCTGCCTGAAATCCCCTCCAAACACAATCGTCTTCCCTCCAAACGGAGAACGTGGACAACCCATTATATCTCTAATGCTCATATCGAGGGCCTCAACCGCTTGCCTCTTTGTCATGGAGGCCTCATCCCATATTATAAGCGACGCCATCTGGAGAAGCTTTGCCGTCCCACTTTGTTTGGTGAAGCTGCAATACGACCCTTCCTCAATGTTGAGGGGGATCTTGAACCGCGAATGGCCTCTAGGCATTATAGAAGCTGCAACACCCGACGTCGCGGTTGCCACCGCTATATCACCATTGCCACACACTGTAGCTAGTAGCGCCCTATATAGGAAAGTCTTCCCCGTGCCTCCTGGGCCATCTACGAAGACACGCTCCCCTGAGCACTACCAACCGTGTTCATGATTTTATTGAATGCAGACCTTTGCTCATCATTGAGCTGGTCTAGGAGGTCCATATCATCTCTCTCACAACAATGGAAGACTCCTCAATAATCTCTCTGGGATCTCCTCGAGTACTATCATGTGATTCATCTATTTCAGGGAGCGGGAACGATGAGATTTCCTTACCCATTGATTGTAGCATACCCCGGATTTCTATCAACACCATCTGTTGGACAGCATAAGGGCATGCGTTGTTACGCCTGTAGTCATCTGACATGGAATCTAGATGCTTGTCCCAAAGTGCATGGACATCGGTAGGTTCGCAATACACCAATATGGTAGCGAATAACCTGCGTAGCGACGCTGGCATCTAGTAGACACCGGCTTCCGTAAGGCACTCGTCGAGGGTGTTGTCTGCCTCTATAAGACCCCTTCTTTCAGCTGCAGCACGGAACGACGGCATGAGCACACCATCAACAGTACGTAGGTCTTCAAATGAGGTGGATCCTGCCAAGTGGTTTAGAAGCACCCGAAGATAGTAGCGCTCCCCCTCTGCTGGGTGGGCACATACAATTCTCCCGACCTGGCCACCTCTATCTCTTTTCTTCCAGTACTTACCTGGCGTCTGCCAAGTAAACCACATTGGGAAATCTCTATAAAGGATATCTCGAGCCCAAACATGCTGCCTGTTAGCCTCGAAATACGCCGTAAGCATCGATCTTCCCGCGTCTTCCTTATCCAGAACTTCACGGAGATCCTTGTCTGCATCGAAAGCCAACATGTGCATGTTTGGCAGATGCAATTGCAACTGCCTCACAGACGGCGAGATGTGGCATATGTCAAAACCATATATACGCCACAAGGCTTCTGGAGGGGTAACCCACCTCACATCCCTGTAGCGCTGAATCTCATCAATTTCACCGTTTTTATCTGCCTCGTTTATGGATATCGAGGCCTTGTCATGTCCCTTGTAAAGGTATTTAAAGAGGTACTTTACAGCCTTGATGCTCGAGCAAACCTCGACATTCATGTGACAGTTGTACATCCGTAGAAGATAAGGATTGTATGGGACAACCCACCTATTATCGAGAGGATGTCCTCTAACCACCTTACTCTTACCATCATTACGTCTCCTATACAATGGGTATGAATCCTTGCCTTGCGAGGTTGTGGGGTTGAACTCTCATGGGTAGTTGTTCCTGCACTTTCCATCTCGCATGCATTGGCAACTACCGTTGAGTCGACCACAAGGGCCATGCATCATATGCTTGACAACCATATTGTATAGCTCTGGATATTTTTTCTTGTCCGGTAGCTCAGCTGAGACGATGCGGTCATATTGCTCCGCAGACGTTAGCTTGTATCGACCACTCATGATCAGCAAAAAGTGTGCGTGCGGCAGACCCCTCTTCTGGAACTCAACAACATATACGTGTGCAATGACTTTGCCAAGGATGTGCTTCTCGAACAGCTGCTTCTTTAGGTCCTCTAACTTGGCTCGAAAGACACGGACCACGAGATCAGGACGATCTTGTGGTGTCTGGCCAGGATCAAGCTCACGAGTAATCTCATCCCACTTGGGGTTGCTAGTCATTGTAAGGAATACATTTGGCTTCCCGTACTTCTGTACTAAGGCCATGGCATCCATGTATCGACGCTTCATATTTCGGCCACCACCGATGAACGACGCTGGCAACACAGTTCTTTTGCCGACCGCGCTTGCTCGACTCTCCCCAGCTTGGATGCTATCCATCAACCCTTGATACAGGTCCGCCCTTATCTCCTTCTGGTTGTTCCTCACATAGTCTAGACGAGAGCTCTCAACCTTGATGTACATGTCAACGGCAAACTGCTGGAACAGGCGTCCGCCGTGAAGTATAGGATTGAAAATTCCACGACGCATCTGGAATTTATAGCAGTAGTAGTCCCTTATAGAGACTTGTATCCTGCTGTTACAATCTACACGTGACAAACATCTAGGTTAGTACAGTCATGTAACACATAATGATCAATTCTCTAAGGCAACATAGTACGAAGATAAACTTACCAGGATCATCGCCATTCCGCGCGTTTGCATCCTCCATGGTTATTTTGTCCTTTGGAAGGCCTTGATGCCAACCACTCTCTCCTCTAGGGAAGAACAGAGGGTACGAGAGGGGATCATAACATCCGTAGAAAGGCTGGATAGATTTCCGTGTACGGTCGTTCCCGTATATTGTCACGCTAGGCTTGTCACGCCCGGAATTTCTATCCAAAATTCCAAACGCTTCCATGTGTGTGAACCCTCGTCCAGGAATCAGCCGAGGCATACAATAACAAATTGATAATAGAGTACAATTATTACTATAATTAATAAGCGAATAAAATGTCATTACAGAGGTAGATAGTTCCTCTCAATCAATAAAGATCTAAGCAGCAGAAAATAAGATAAATGGCGCAGACGACTCCACTCCACAGGCAGCTTGACCAAGGCTACACCTAATCCTCCACACCATCAGCATCACTGTAGAACTCCTCCTCTGATGAATGATTGCAAGGTGAGTATATGACATACTCAGCAAGTCACGCAGCAAATATGCAAGTGCACAGGATAACAAAGGATGGCATAATATGGTTTCATTTGCATAAATAGCATTTAATAAACATTTCAGAATTTCATAAAACAGTAAAGTATTTAATTAAACAGTATTAATCCAACGCTATACAACATACCCTGTTGCATAGGCCCAACCATTCTGAACAACCAATCCCGGCTGCACAGTTCTATCTCCAAACCAGGAATATACCATTCCAAACCAGGAGCTAAACAAGTTATTACCAGTTATAGCAACTTTTATTATGATGAGAAGTGTGAGACTAATCACGAAAGACATTGTTAGACCCACCCATAACCGCGGGCACGGCTATTCGAATAGTTTTACTCTGGCCAGAGGTGTACCACTGTACCCACAAGACACAGCCCCACAACATGTCACCATGCGCCTCAATACCACCACGGTACCTCAGAAAGGAGCTGTGACAGTACCCCTCGCACAACACAATCCACCACAGTGCACCGTTCCTGGATCATAATCACCCCCTTATAAAACAAGGCATGGACTCCCCAGCGACCCCCGTGGGCTTATCTCCGCCACTTCTCAGTCTGGTGCTCCGCAATGAACCATGCTATACAAAAGGTAAAGCCGTTGCCCACGCTGGCTTGTGGTTGGCACGGTTAATGTTTCACAACCGAAACTCGTGAACCGGTCCTTAATTGTCATGAGCACGACTCTCAAAACCATGTGCTCACAACCCACCTTTATCAAGTTTTAGTTGGCAATTTAATTAATTAACTAATCACGATTGACCATCGTGAGCTATCATTAAGCCATCATTAAATAATAGTGAATCACAAATTATCCCAATAGTGTGCTTATGTTTCTAAGCATGGCTAAGCAATCATATCTAATATCTAGCTGAACCAATATATAAAGCTCAACTAGTCAAGTTATAATAACCCAAGGTATCAAGGAATAAAGTAATCAAGAACAAAAGGGCTATATCAAACAATAGGTTAATTCCACCCAATGACATTCGAAAATAAATGCAATAGTTGAATAGAAACAATAGCTTTAAATAGGATCAACATGCTCAAAGGGTTGTTTGGGATCTGTGTGACTTGCCTTGCTGGCTTTGGAACTCTTCAAATTCTTCTCCTGCGAAAACGGACTCTCCAGAAACGTCGGAATCTAAACAGAAAAGAGCAAAATCACCAAAACAGAACATAAACAAGCATGAACAGTACATGTGGATATTTTTAACATGTAGATCTCAATTTTAGAAAAATTTAGAGACTTGAACCAACTAAATCCGAGCTAAGATGAATTAGTTATGAATTTTTAAAGATTAAATCGGATTAAAACACTTATATGGATTTTAATTGAATTATGACGCAATAATGAATTATTTTTGAAAAGAAAAAGGGGATTATTGCGTCATCGGCTAGGGTTCGCGGTGGACCGGGTGCACGGCGGCGGCTCACGGAAACGAACGGCCGAGATCGATCCATCCAAAACGAACGGCCGAGATCTATCGGTCCACGACCGATCTACGGCAGACGGCAACGATGACGTCGGCGATGACGTCACCACCGGCGGCGGCTCGGGCGCGCAAGCTCGCCGATGAACGACGACACGAACGGAGGGCACCAGTGCGTAGATGGCGACGCGGCGAACTCACCGGCGACCAAAACAGCGGCGGAAGATGAACGGACAGCGACGGCGACGAGGAAGAAGCGGCGACGACCTTCGGCTTGACGACGACGACGGCGCTCCGACGGTCTACAGCAACGATGGAGGGGCGGACGAGAACGGCGACGGCTTGGCGAACCCGGCGGTGGCCTTCCCGAGCGACGACGACGACCGGAGCGACGGCGGCGCACAGCTGGACAAACGGCGGCGACGTTTCAGCGATCTTCGGCGAAGAAAAACCGATGGCCGGGCTTCACCTTGCTCCTGCGAACCCAATGGAGTCGACGGCGACCGAGGGCGACGACGGACGACGACGAACGGCGCGACTGAAGATGGAACAGATTGGCTTCACGGTGACGACGGTGCTCCGATGGCTTGCGTCTTCGCCGAGGTGGCTGCCGGGCTTCTCCTCACTGCTGCGATGCCGACAGTGGATACGGCGAGGTCCGGCGACCACGGAGTCGACGGCAAAGCTTTGCCGGAGATCAAAACATGGCAACGGTTCGGCCTTCACGGTGACGGCGACTTCCGGCGGGGTTCGGCGCAAAAGAACGGGTGGCCGGGGTAGAGCTCTTCACTGCGAAGCCGAGGAAGGTGGCGGCGCTGACCGGCGACGGCCGGGGCGACGGCGAATGGCGGCTGGAGCGGCGGCCGGAGGTGGAGAGAGGGAGAGCGCGGGGAGAGCGATTCCGGCGACGGCGGAAGATGGGACTTGAGGGGATAGGTAGAGGACGACTAGGGACTCCTTTATATAGGCACGGGAGCTCGGGATCAAGCCCACAACGACGGGAAAAACTCGGGAAAGTCTAGGGTTCTCGCCGGAAAAAGGAAGGATTTGATCCGCGAAATTGTTAAGAATTTCCATAGAAAATTTTGGGGATTTCTTGGGGAAAAGGAAGAGGAGATTGAGGGGATTCCATTCCCGCAACTAATTTGGAAAGAGGAGCAACGGGGAGGTCAGATTGGTGGGAGGAGGCGGCGGCACTGTGCACGAGCACGGCTGGCTCGGCTCTGTCTGGAGGAGGAAGATGGAGTACTGTAGCACCAGGGAGTTAAATCATACTTTTCTGCCGGCTGAGAGGAGAGGAGGGAATAGGAGGGAATGGGCTGAATTCGGCCCAAGCTGAGGAGGAGAATTTTTATTACTTTTTCAAATAAATTAACCAATGAGATGATCTTTCAATTGTTAAAAATACTTTCAATGCTCAAATAATTCCAAGAAAAATCTTGAACATACTTGGAAACTCAAAGTATTTAAAAATATTAAAACCAGACCATTTAATGATTAATTTATTAATTAAATAATTACTGAAATATTCTTTGTATTATTAAAATTAGGAATTGAGCTCTGAAAAATCCGAGAAAATTTCAGAGAGTATAATTAATCATAGAGAACTTAATAAAAATTAAATCCAACCATGCTTTATATTTAGGAAATTTTATTTCCCACATTTAACTTCACTTGTAAATTAATGAACATTTAATATAAATTCTTTTAATAATTTATTAAATTATTTATAAATCCTGAAACGAAAATCAGGCTGTGACAAGGCTCGAACTTCCTTCTCTCATTTCCCTCAACCTAGACAGCAGCGACCTCAATTGCCACCGGCACATTGTAACGCCTTTGGTCCAACCTATGGTCCAGATTTAGTGTCACGCGATAATTCGCGAGGTCTTCAGCCTGCCCTAGACTTCTAAATGTCTCCGAGTACGGGTTGTTCCGAAGGACGTCTGCAACAGTCCTAATCACATCCTGGTCAAGGCTAGGGGAATGTTGGAATCTATGACTCAATGTTGGATCGTCATCGTAGAAATACAGCTCAAGATGCTCTGGACCAGAATCTCTAGGACTGAAAGAATGTATATTATGACATATCTGACCATGAGCCCGAAAAGTGTACACGCCCGAACTCATGTTTGCAAAGGCCTTGTCAAGGCTTACACCAAGGGTAGTGAATGAGAAGTGGCCGTTGAAGTATCTAATGTTATCCCGGAAATGCTTGGCGTCTGGATCCGAGCTTGTCCAAAGCCTCATCAGTTCAGGCGGTGTTTCATTTTGTACAAGATTGATCTTGCCATCCCGACAACAGAAGCTCGGCGGTTCGTACTGGAACCTCTTGGCACCACAGTGTTTACAGTCAGGTTCAGGCTTCAGAACATTTGTGCTTTGTGGAATGTTGCTATAGACATAGTCGAACGGATCAGGAACAGAAGAGGTCGGCGATTGCGTGTCATCGTCATCAGATTGTACCATGTCGTCATCCTCATCGTCTCCTAGTATGGTTTAGCGCAAACGATTTATAGGCCGCAAAAAATATACATGTGAAAGAGAGACATTAAGATATCACGACGACGATACCTAGCCCAACAAACATGTAGTATTCATCGTCGGAGTCATCATCCATGAAGGAATCCATATCATCTATAATTGAATGAAAAGTTAGTATGCGGAAGGGTTAAAAATGTGTATACGAATTAAAACATTGATCATGTACCATCATCGAAGGTGCATGATCGTGTACGATGATATGTAGAATGCTCAGTTTGCAGGCTCGATGTAGATGGCACATCACCGGTTGCTTCCAAGCAAGGCTTTGGATTTAGCAACGACGGGCTAGATCCCTCAGGGCACTCTAGTGCAATCGATTCAGCACATGGTTTGTCACGCCTAGCTGCATAGAGTGCGTTATGTCGTGCCAGATGAGCAGATCTTTCTCCAGGAGTAACATTTTGTCGACTTGGTCTACGACGAGCATTCATATCATGGATTTCCACATCTGGCATAGATTGCCTTACAACCCTACGACTGTCATTCAACTCTAGTCTCTGTTCATTTGTTAGTGATTGACGTCGTGTTCTCTATCGGTCCACCTTAGCTTGTTTTTGCTCCGGTGTAAGAGTTGCAGGCTTCTCCCTAGCTCGAGCTAGCTTTGACTGCAGTCGTTGTTTTGTCTGATTGGTTGGCGCACGCACCAATTCATTCTCTAGTGATGTGCCAACATCATCATGAGTGCATTTATGGGCTTTTTTTCTCACTTCAATTCAAAAATTTTAAAAGTATGAATAGATAATAACAACTAACTTAACGCACATCTCATATGTAAGCAAAGAGGTTTTATGTTGACAAGTGGATATTAAAAAACATATAATGAAGTTAAATTAGTGTTACCTAGAGAGATGTCGTCATCATGGTCGCACTCATTTCGATCGTTGCCTTGAAAAATACCGGATTCATGCATTGGGCTATGGGTATTTTGGTTCCCACTTGTTACGATTGGATCATAATGATTTTCACATCCTGTTGTAACATAGAGTCAGTAATATATATTTAACACAAAAATTTACAAACGGTAACATCATTGTAGTCCCATTCATAAAAAGATGTTAGCGTACCTGAATTATGAACAGTGAAGTCAGCACTATTCATGTTTAGGGTTGTTAATTGAGTGACGCGACTCATTGGAACTTCGTTGGGACCATAGTGAGCTACATTGTTGATGATTGTAAATGGGAGACGTCTGGGTGTGATATTGAGATGGGAAGCTTCTCTTTCTATTAAAACATAGAACCATCAATTTCCACTCAGTCGAATAATATATTGTTCAACCAAAGTGTACAAACAATAAAGACATTACTTCCTTGATGCAGTGTGGAAGAATCATTATCTTCCAAGTGGCACTTCATTATATCAACAACACTTATATTTGAAATATCGCCAAGTGGGGCTGTTCACACGGTGAGAAAATATAAGATTGTTTCGCATAATTTTTAGGACATATTTTAATTTTTACAGATACATATTACAGATATACCTGAAGCTTGAGTTTCCTCTTGAGTTTCCTCCTTCTTTCGTTTCCTTCTTTCACGTGCCTTCTTGTTCCTATCATCCTTTTGCTGTGGGGTCAATGCTGCGTAGCGGTCTCGAGCACGCTTTCTTTTTAGTTCAGCCACAGTAAGGTCACTAACATCTTCATGCGAACCTGTGCACATATGCACATTGCTGGGTGTATTGAAGGATGCACCGCGGTTTTCTGCACATGGATGACTATTAGGCGTCACCACAGGATGCACAACTTCATGGCCAGCATCACAAGTATATAATCATCACATTGGTGTTGGTGGATACAGATTGAGATTTAATTAAAATAGGAAACAAGCAATATGGTAAAATACCATTTGAAGAAGTTGGACTGGCACTTAACGACTTGTTTCCACCCCTGCCCCGTCTATTTGTCAAACCGGAACCACTTATATTTGTTATATCAGCAAGAGGGCCTAAGAAAGGAACACACGAGTGAAATTAGCATGCAAAGAATTAATATGCACAGCACATTTTCCCGGTTTGAACATGAATGTATTTGTGTCAGGTTGCTGCTAAGAAAAACACTACATACAAACCAATTAATTTATGAAAGAATGGATCAAATGAGGATATTTTTATGTAACATAAGGGACGAGAGGTTCTCTTCCTTTTTTATTTATTTCTTTTTTTGTGAAGCTGAGAGAGGCCCCCGGCCCCAGCTCCCTCGAGTTCATCATTCGAGTCAATAACATGCACAAAACTAACCTGTTTTTGTACATGATTGTGTAGAGCCCCCAAGAATGTTATCCATTTCTGAAAAAAAAAATAGAGATGATAGATCAAAAATTATGAAGGAACCGGCATATCAAACAGGTAGATATTGGGAATTTTGATTAGGCTATTTGTCTATAGCTCCAAATAATTTAATTGATCAAGATTTCCTTCTTTGTTTTTGTGTGCAGATTTGGAGAACCACTGAATAATTTATTAATGTATTTCTGCTTTTCGTGACGGATCAGTGTCGCCCAATGAAGGTAAGCGGCTGACACAAAAATTATTTTGTAGTAAATACAAAGTTATCCCACAGAAATCATGTGTCTTTTATTTAAGCAAACATTATATGTATCGGCAGCAAACTACCTGCGATACATAGATTCTTTTTTTTTTGTCCATTAGTTGTGTTGTCGAGGAACTTGGCTGCAACTACTGATGTTCAGAGCATCATAGAAGATCAAACAGTGTTAGAGTGCGACTGTCTGTTGGCTGTTTCCCCTGTTTTTAGTTTGTGATTGTTAGTACTGATTTTAGCCATGTTTATAGAATTCAAGGAGTGAACTTTTTAGACAATGTCAGCACGAATTTTGTACACAATCATAATCTTGGTCCCCTCAACTAACTGAACTATCGTTTACCCAAGTTTTTTGCATCTCCACTATTGTTTGCTGTACTAAATTAATCTGCAGAGTTTCATCCGATTATTACATGTCCATCATGCAGATGATTGCCTCTTGAAGCATATTTAAGTAATTCAACACCTAATATTATTTTGATGCAAAGAAAAAACATGGAGGATTCATATTTCAGAATGATGTTTAACCCAGTGTACCCAATTGATCAAGATTTTAAATATAACAGTAGCTGATTTTGTGAAGATGTGACTATAATATTAAACCAGATTTACCAAAACTACCTTCAATTTATGCATATATTATCAGGACTGTCAAAATACTAAGAAATTCTAGCAACTTTTAACTAAATAATCATATCCAGCAAAATGAAGTTTTTATCCCTAAAGGGTGCCATAAAGCATAAATGTCAGTACCTCAATAACACGGCCAACTATGATATCACCAACCTCCGGCTTATACCTGAAAAGGTCAGAGAGAAAATGGAGTAAGAATTGATACGCTCATTCAGATGAAGCTCCCCTCGCTTCCTCTCCACCAACAGAAATCACACGAGCAATTCTTACATTCAGATGGTCCAGACAATAAAAACCAGAAACCAAATAGTTTTAAATAAAAGTAGCTAGGACATTGTATTTTGGTAGCATAACTCATTACGAACTTGTAAATAATTCAAAGTATGTCTCTTGCATGGTAGCAAACTTTTAATGAATTCATAAAGAAGTTGTAATGGTCTGTACCAATCATTTCGACAGCCAAAATAGATGAAATCTATGGTTTGATTTGGTGCAAATTACAGGCTCAGAACAAATCCAGCTGCAGCACAGTATATCACAAGTTGTTAGCACTTAGCACTGCCAGAGTGCTTGGAATTTGAGTCCATAATCCCCATTCTACATATACTCCCTCAGTCCATCAACATCCACCCCACAAAATCTACTACTGGACTCGTTACAATAACATAAACCCCGCTCTCATCTTGAGATAAACCTAACTTTTACCTTTGTGGAGCGCGATGCGTGGGGGCACGGCGAAGAGGAGGACGGCGAAGAGGAGGGGGGCGCGGCGAAGAGGACGGAGCGGTGATGGGGGCGCCGGCGGTGGAGGCGCGGCGGGGCACGGTGAAGATGGGGGCGCCGGCGGTGGAGGCGCGGCGTGGCGCGGCGAAGAGGTGGGAGGCGCGGCGGCGAAGAGGACGGCGCGGTGATGGGGGCGCCGGCGGTGGAGGCGCGGCGGGGCGCGGTGAAGATGGGGGTGCCGGCGGTGGAGGCGAGTCGGTGTGCGGCGAAGAGGCGATGGGGGCGACGGCGGTGGAGGCGCGTCGGCGGTGCGCGGCGAAGAGGCGATGGGGGCGACGGCGATGGAGGCGCGGCGAAGAGGTGGGAGGCGCGGAGGCGAAGAGGACGGCGCGGCGGGGCGCAGCGAAGATGGGGGCTCCGGCGGTGGAGGCGAGACGGTGTGCGGCGAAGAGGCGGTGGGGGCGACGGCGGTGGAGGTGGGAGGCGCGGCGGAGGAAGATGCGCGAGGCGTCGGCGGAGCGCGATAGTTGCTAGGAAGGAAATCGTTTCGCGGTGGAGGAAAGCCAGAAAAAGCGGATCGCACGCGTGCGAAGCGATATATCATAACCGTCCGATGTTCCGATCCAACGGGTTATAGGACGCGAGTCTGCCAGGTTTGGCTTCACCACCACAGTACAGAATTTTTAAGTAGTAAAGATAATAGCTGAGGTGGGTAATTTTTCCCCAAAAGCATGTGAAAGCAGGAGGTAGAGGTGGTTTTGATTTGTACCACACCAAAAGCTAGCTTTGGGCAAAAGCAGCTATGGCTTTTGGGCCCTTTGGTTGGCTTCTAGCTTTTGCAAAAGCAAAAGCAGGTTGAAAAGCCCAACCAAACACACTCTAACTAGTGATTGTTGATCTCTACTAGCCAATTAAGCAATTATGCAGTCACTGAGGTTGGGTTGCTGTGGACGGAGATGGCCGTGACCGCCCGGCGTGTGTGGCATGCTTGATAGCAGCAGTCGTGGCCAAGTCCTCTGAGAGATCCTCGACCATGCCAGTGTCCACGATGTAGTCCATGCCTTAGTGAAGGTACCCAGAAGAGGAGGCATGCAGCACGGCAACCAGAGATGGGGCGGTGGGTGGGAAACTAAGAACAGATCACCTTCAGAGGCGTCCAAGCGGTCGGCAAGAAGGGATCACCAACAGAGACAACGAATCGATCAGCAAGAAGGGCAAGAATCGATTAGCAAGCGATAATCGGCACGGGCCGTTTTGCCACTATTGATGTGGCTGTGGTGGCTGCGAGAGACCGAAAAAAGGATGGCGGGCCACTTCAACATGTGTTGCAAATAGAATCGGAACGGGGCAAATAGAATAAAAAAGCATCTGGGATCATGGCTAGCGACATGCAGTCGCATGCAAACGGCAAAAGCGGATTAATGCGGATAACACTACCTAGGTGACGCACGATAGTTATATAAGAAGGGACTAGTCGCATGCATGGTAGTTTGTTGAAGAGATCAATTCACACGGCAAGATAGATCGATCGAGGCGCTTCAATAGGGTGGCTTGGATTCCGTCTTTGACTGTTGCTGCTTCAATTCGCGACCGTGCACCCAGTATTATAACCGTTTGCACCGGATCCTCCGCCTGCCAAAAATCTCCGATCCGTCGTGTGTTCAATCCTCCAAACCGGAGTCATTCTAGCTAGCTAATAAAAGCCTTCATCTTCGAATACTTCAGCCAAGTCAAGTCTGAGATTGATCAATCGCGAGATGGCGGCGGCGATACTAGCACATTGGCTATCGGACATGGCCGGGTTGGTGATGAGCTGCTGCAAACCGTGATGAGTTGCTGCAACCCTATACTTAGCTACAGCAATGATGGCCCCCAAAACCCGGAAGCTCTAACCATCCAAACCATATGTAAGCATCCAACCAATTTTTATTTTATTTTTAGATCCAAGTAGATTAGATACAAACATGTTGTACTAGATTAGTAGAATTATTGTTTTATTACGTTTTCTTCTTTCTTTTTGTAGTTGTCGCCAATGAGATCGAAGCCTTGTATGAGCTTTTCAAGAGGATCGATGGTGCCATAATCGAAGATGGCAAGATCAACAAGGTACGCACGCGTGTACATGGTGTTTAACTAGGTTACAAATGCATGTTGATTAATTAGTAGAATTATTGTTTGGTTTACACATACCTTGAAGCATGCGTACATGCATGCATGCATTTGTTCGCCCTTGATGATGGTACATATCAATCAGAAATTATACATGCATGAATAAATCATATCTATGTTTACTCACTGCATGCTATGGCTCACTAATCCCAGTCGATTATGAAGCCTCCGTCGTTCAATGATTATTTCTTAATGTTACCAATGAATAATTAGTCTTTGATATCTTGCCAAATTAATTACATTGTCCAAAATTGAAGATTGCCTAATGTTTTCTTCATCGATCTTTGCCTGATCACTCTGTTAGTTTTGAAGAAACACCAAACACGTGCCTTGCATTTTCTTTGTCATATCGGTACATATTTTGCATCATTGTCTTTCAACTTGAGAGTATTTGGTCCCGAAAAGGGAGGCACCCTATTTGTTGATCTGGTAGTATACACTTGCATGCTTTGATGAGCTTTTTCATTCTCCCTTAATTCGCCTAGAATGAACCAGAGGATTTTTGCACTTTGGTCTTCATGTAAATAAACCAGCTCTTCAGTATGCCACATGTCATAATCTAAAATGTCCTAAAATGCAGATATCTCATGACTCAAATAGGATTTATTTAGAGTTCGGACTTAAGGACACATATGATTCAATACTAGTGTTTGAGAGGAGATGATCGACGAATGTTGACAAGATACGTAAAATGAGGTGAACCATTAACGTACGATTAATTAAAAATTAATTATTGTAAATATGAAAAATTGATTAATATGACTTTTTAAAATAACTTTAGGACAGAATATTTTTTTTAAAAAAATGCACCATTTAGCGGTTTGGAAAGTGTGCACATGGGAAACAAGGGATCTTTCCCTTCAATCTGTTAAAACAAACAAAGATGAAGTTGTCAATATGTGTGTATGGACAAAGGAGTGGACTGGCTGCTTTTCTCACTATGGTATTTTTGCCATTTTGCTTTGTAGGTATTCGATTTGTTTGACATGAAGCATGAACAAGCTCTCGGATTTGAAGAGCTTGCAGTAGCTTTATCCATCTTCCATCCTGACGCTCCCATTCATGACAAGATTAATTGTAAGTTGATGCCAGTTACATAGTTTATGTCTAATGACTTCAAAAGGAAATGAACAACCTTAAGCAAAGACTATTATGTCCATTCTCAACTGATTGGCACTACTGAATTTGACTACTCAGACTTCCAGTGCTAACAATTGTTGACATGGTAACACAAAGATGAAACTGCTGAATTTGAAAAAAAAATTAACATCATGAGAAAATAGTATCTTGATTTTATGATGTCATTCTTAGTTTCTTGTAGTCAAGAGGTTCATGTATCCTATTTGAGTATATACATGGACACTCCAATTTGTAATATTGTCCACATTTTAAACATGTCATTTTATTACTTGATTTTTTCCAGTAATTATCCAGTTCTATAGATGCTATAGTTTGTCAATGAGTCGAGCTTTAATAATTATACCATTTTGCAATTTCTTTCATGTTGTACAACATCAAGAATCAAGGTTTTATTGAAAGACACATGAGGTACTTTCTTGACCAAGTTAACACACAACTTACTAGTTCATAGAAGAGCTAGAGCTCTGTTAGTAGTTGGCTACTTCAATGTTTTGAATTTTTCAACCATCAGCTCAAACGATCGGAAGTTTGAGAGTGAATTGAACTAGTGTTGTCAATAATCACACAATTTACATGTGTGTAATCTTAGCTGAAGCAAATGATGGTTGCCATACTGGCTGAATCAGATCTGAACCATACAGACCTGGTCATAGAAACCATCATTGACAAGGTGTGGATTCCATGGCTATTTGTCCTTAAATTATTTTAGTTCCTTTGCAATGTTTGAACTGATGCAATTTTGAGACATGACACTTACTGAATTCTCTCAAATTAAATGTTAACTGCAAATATTTTTCCACTATCATCTTAAGACATTTGAGGAGGCAAATACGAACAAAGAAAGGAAAATTGATTTTGAGGAGTGGCAAGCACTTGTCAACGCCCATCCATGTTTACCGAAGAACATGACTCTGACCTACCTCAGTTAGTAAGACTCTCCTACGTTGGACCCTTTCTTTTGTTCTCCTTTCAAGTACACTATCTTCTTTTGACAACTTTGCTCGAGTGAGTGATAATTTGATCGACTCTTTTGGTAGTGTATTTTGGTGGCGTTAGCTTTTACTTCATGCTAATTGCAAAGGTGTCGCATGATTTGCTTGAGCAGAGATATCACCATGACATTTCCCAAGTTCGCCTTCCACTTTCAAATCCTAAGAGTCCAGCTGGTCAAGCAAGCAATGTTCTGAAGGGATCGTATGGTCGGCGTGTTACTCTTCTTAGCTTTTCCTCTTTTGTAATAATAATACTTTAGCACAAGTGTACAACAACAGGGATCATCTCTTGGGTGTTCATAGATAGTTAATGTGTGGCCTTAAATACCAACCTGACATGACCGAAAAATAGAAGCAGCAAGTGATGTGACCATGGCTATCATTGATACAACCGTTGCTCACATCAAGATCAAGTTGCCCAAGTGTTGGAATCCAATTCGGCCACCTACTACAGTGTTAACTTCAAACGGACGCTACATGTGCATACGAGCTCCGTTTTGGGTCCATGAGTACTTGGTGGAAAGCTCTTGGAGTCCTCTTTCCAACGATTCCAGACTCATTGCTCAATTCCATCTCATAGTCCATGTGTAATGACTTCAGAAGGAAATTAACAACCTTAAGCAAAGACTATTGTGTCCATTCTCAACTGATTGACACTGTTGAATTTTACTATTCAGATTTCCAGTACTAACAATTGTTGACTTGGTAACACGAAGATGATACTACTGAATTCGAAAAAAAAAACTTTTACAGCATGAGAAAATAGTAACTTGATTTTACGATGTCTTTCTTAGTTTCTTGTAGTCAAGAGGTTCATATATCCTATTTGAGTATACACAAAGACACTCCAATTTGTATTGTTGTCCACATTTTAAGCATGTCATTTTATTACTTGAAAATTATTTTTAACTAATTCTTCAGTTCTATAGATTCTATAGTTTGTCAATGAGTTGAGCTTAAATAATTATACCATTTTTGCAGTTTCTTTCCAGATGTATGATATCAAGAATCAAGGTTTTATTGAAAGAGAAGCGGTACTTTTCTTGACTAAGTTATCACACAACTTACTAGTTCATATAAGAGGTAGAGCTCTGTTAGTACTTGGCTACTTCAATGTTTTGAATTTTTCAACCATCAGCTCGAACAATCGGAAGTTTGAGAGTGAATTGAACTGGTTTTGTCACTGACTCACATTTTACTTGTGTGTAATCTTAGCTGAAGCAAATGATGGTTGCCACGCTGGCAGAATAAGATCTAAACCTTACAGACC